TAAATTAATCTTCATTTTCAATTTTTTTTTAGTACTCTCTTGGTCCCAAAATAGATGTTCATTATTTTATTTTTGGCTCAATGCCATTTGAAAAGTCAAAGTAAGGAGTATTATTTTTTTGTAACATTACCAATTTAACCTTACTGCATTAAACTTATAAAAAATTAATCATCAACCCATGAATAGATTTAATAATTCATTCACTACCAATACATTAAAAAAATATTGAAACTCATATACTTAAAAAGTTATATTCCCAATAAAGGATATTTATTTTGGGATTGAGGAAGTATTTGGCAAGGAACTCTATTAGGCTTCCATCCTCCCCGAGGTAATGTTTTGTTAGTTGAGAAAGGGTGTTAAATAAAACACGAGCATAGTAATATTGTATTATTTGCTATGCTTTGTGAAGCCGCGGTTGTCACAATTGCACAAATTTAGATTTTGAATTTATTTATTCATTTTTATTACGTAAGTGTGTACTCATATTGGATTTGTGAGCCCCCACATTTATTAGACATTGGATTTGTGAGCCCCCCACATTTATTAGACTTTGAATCTTGTGAATGTGAGGCTGGCGAGTCCAAGGTAGAATTGATAATGAGTGAAAAATACTTTTTTTTTTTTAGTGGTGATATTATAGACAACCAATAAGTCATATCATTAGGTGTTAGGTCATTTAATCAAAATATCACCCACGATTATTATTTCTTGTTGCATTATGGTTTGTTAAAATAAAACTGCAAGGAGAGGAAGTGTATGGTTAAAAATTTGCAAGAAGAATTTGGATTCTGCATGATCTGCTGACAAAAAAGCAGAAGAACTGGCGCATGTACAAGAGTTGTATGGCAAGAGCTATGCACCATATCAGCATTTCAAGTACAAGATGTGTGAACTTATGGGCACATGCCGCATTGTGCGGCTTATGTTGACTATAAAGACACTCATATTTTGAACATGCCTTGTGAGAGAGAAGTTCTTCCCGCCAAAACCCGCCTCGTTCTTTGTCTCTTCTCAAGGTTAGGTTGTTTCACTAAACAAATTCAAAATAACTTGAAGACAAAGTCGTGTGTAAATAAATTCTTAATTATTATTATTTTTATTTTTATTTTGAAAATATATTCTTAATTGTTATATGCATGATTTTAAAATTTTTTTAATTAGAAACCTAAAAAGATAACAAAATAAAATGCAAATTAACAAACAAAATATGATAATGGAATAATTATTGAAATATAATTTTATAAACAATCTTCAGGATTAGACTTGTTTAACATTTTCAAAATATATCTAAACCATCCAATACGAGTGAGAAGACGATTAATATTTGTAAATAAAATAAATAGTGAGTGCTTATCCATCTCACTATATTAATGGTAATTTTTTTTAGATACCCAATAATTTTCCCAAAGAGAGAATATTAAAAAAATAAAAATAAAAATTCAAATAATCGAGGTTGAAGTATTTAGGGATTCAATTAATTTTCAAGGCATCGGCCACAGGCCCACGAGCAGCATCATTTGGTGCAATAGTAAATCTTGCGGGCCCGAATGAAAAGGACTGGACTGTCACATGCACCGTTACCTAACCCTATATCAACTCGTTAATACCCTAAATGCGTATAGTTGACCGCCATTGGACCTACGCATTAAAGCTCTCACATTTTTGACGCCCAAGTAGCCCAATTGTCGCACTGATCCATGATGACCTGTTTTGGATATTTTCTGGACCATCTCACTGTCACACCTCCCTGTTGTCCACGGAAAGGCTCTTTAACTCTCGCAACCTCCAATGGAGGAAAAAAAATACACACCTTTTTAAACATACTTTTCGTACATACAAAGGAACATACTTGTGTGTTGGCACATTTTGTAATTAAAATTGAGTTTTTATCTAGTTGTAATTTTTTTAATTTTTATTTGAATCTAATATTTTTTATATTTTATTTTCATGGTAACAATGTTAGGGGTTAATGGTTGGTAGTTAGAGATAGGGATGGACAAAAAACTCAAGGGAGGGGGGCAATACTGAATTTTTTTTTAATAATTTCAAGAGAGGCAAATATAATATTTAATTAGTGTATATATCAAAATGACAAGGGCATAATAGCAAAAAAAAAGAAAAAAAAGAAATGTAAGGGGCAATTGCCCCTATCAGTATATCATAAGTCCCTCCTTATTAGAGAGAAGGGAGAGAGTGCATTACTAGAACACAGCCTTAAGTACAGCATTTTCAATCGTTGTGTATATATTTTTGTATAAATCTGTGTCATGATAGGCTTACACAAAATTTTTGAATTATTTCTTTTTAGCTTCAATAATTGTTTTACATCTTTTATGTAAAAATATATCTTCCAATAACAACCAACCACGAGTCATGTCAGGATTTCACATAACTTTTACAAACCTATTTAATATATGGTTGATTCTTTAATGGAATGAGAAAGAGGGAGGATAAATGAAATATATTGACATGGGTTGTGTAAATAAGTTATATAAAATACACAATAATTTTACACATTAATAATGTGATAGGAGATAAATACAAAATAAAAAATTACATATCATACGCGACGACAATGTATATTTTATACAAAAGAAGCTAATCACTTGCGGTATTGAATTTTCTCTTTCAACTTTTCTCATGCCAAAGGAAACATACGCATTTACAAAACATTTCTAGTTTATCTAAGCGTTAATATTTGGATAATACTTAGTTACTCACCGATGAGTAAGGTGAAACTAAAAATAATATATTATATTTATTCGATGATTGATTCGAAAAATATTTTATTATTAAATGTGATGTGTTATTTTGTCATTGAACTAGAAGTGAATAGCTTCGCCCGTAACTAAACAGTTATGACATTTATTATTTGTCTTGACTGAATTGTGTTGGGCTGTCCACTTCATTGCCCTCATGTCTCAACTTGTTTTGTAGCCTCTGATTGTGATGTTTAAAAAGCAGCGTCTAGAGTCACGTGAGTAGATTTAGTGTCAACTCTTTGCTATAAGAATCTTTCTCGGAAAGTAACTAGAAAAATATTAAGAAAGTGATTGGATTCAATGACCACATTAAAGAAAGTTAACTGTTGACGGCAAACAACATGTGCACTTCGGAGGTTGTCCGCAAAAAATGGTCACACTTTTGTTACCTTAAATTTATTTATTTATTAATTTTATCATTATTATTAATATTAATTATATGCTTTAGAATTAAAGCCAGTTTGAAGAAGACCTAAAAAAACAAAAAATCTAATAAAAGAAATACTCCTACCCAGGTTAATTATCAAAAGGTTGTGTTTTTAATATTCCCTAAAAATAAGAAACAAGTGATTAATGAAATTAAACCACCAAATAAAAAGAGTGAGTATGAAAGCCAATATGAAATGGCAGTCTCTTAGCACTTCTCATATTCTATTTAGAAGAAATTGACTCCATTTTAGTTTTAAATATACGTAACAACTATATCTAATATAATTTTATTCATTTCTATTCACATAATCAAACATTTAGTTCCTTGTTTCTTTAATCTATGTTGGTTTCCTCAACAAGAGAAAGATTGCTACTTCTTTCTTTTTCTTCCTCAATAATTCAAACATTCATTCACCTCAACAGTCAATATGCACCATCGAGATACATTTATATATTTTTGTTTAAATTAACTAATATTCCTAAAGAGTTACATTTATACGATTACATATGACTAAAGAAGATGTTACTAAATTATAATTATTGATACTTATTATTTTATATTATTTATTTATTCTATTTTTTCAATAACATACTACATATAATTGAAAGAATATCATAAAGTCTCGCAAGTTTTTAATATACCACCAAAGTTCCATACTATGTATAATACAATTTTAACTTGTGATTATTTTATTTGTTTTATAAATAAATTTATTTATTCAGCCAGTCTTTTAGAAGCTCGAGATCCTAAACACTAATTTGACTCATATCTTTTTAAATTACTCATGGGAAACCTCAAGTTGAATGATTCTTTTTGGAAGATACTTTTTCTTTTTTAATTCCTTATTTAATCTAGACATTTTTAATTATGTTTACATTGATGATTATAATAGCATGAATCAAGATGAACACATTGAATGATTATAACGGCAAGAAAATTAGCGTATGTAACACTTCAACAAAAGGTATTATATATATTTTTTATTTCACTATTCCAGTGATTTTTAGGTCCGATTTTAACCCTTAAATATGGCAAATCAATAAAAATTTACACTCAATGAAAATATCCAATTTTTTATTAGTGATTAATGAAATGATATCACATCTTTCTTGTAATAGTTAATTAATTAATTATTTATTTATTATAATTTACTTATTTATTATTATTATTTTTTTAAACAAGTCTCGTGAAAAAGAGATTCAGTGCTATTTGATAAAATTGAAAATTAAATATTAAAATTTTAAAAGCTCAATTTTAAGTTATAAAATTTATAAGTGGTAGTTAAATTTTTTGATATATATATATATTTGAATTTTCAACTTTCAGTATTGTCTACGTTACTTAAATTTTTTTATATTCAAAATGCATCACTTAATTGCAAATGTTGAGATTTTAGCTTTGGGTTCTGGAGTTTTAAATGCTATTTATGTATTGAGATTTTATTTGATATAATTTTATATTGGATAATTATTCAGAATTTAGTAATAAATGAAATTATTACTAAATAAATAAATAAATGAAATTATTGTCACTTAAATATTTCTTTGGATAATTATTCAAATTGTGTTATGGAATATACTTAATTAAAAAATATTTTAATATATTTATTAAAATACAGAGTAATAATTTTTTTTTTACCAAGAGTAATAAATTATTAAACAACGTCAAAATAAATATATAGCCGTTGATATTCCGTTCTGGAAAAGCCATCGCGTCACATACACGCAGTCACGGCACATGCGTGTGTATATACAACATATATATATTTCGCCAAAGGTGGTTTCTTTTAATTTCAGTTACGAACAGATAGTTGTGTGTATAACTTCTTCCTTCTCTCACTATTCGTGGCACCTCTCTCTCTCTCCTCTCTCTGAGACCCACTCTTTACGTGACAACGAAACCCTAAAAGAGAAGAAAAGGTACGATGATCACATTCCTTTAACACATTCGCTGTCATTTATTTTCTTCCCTGGTCTTTTAATAATCATTATAATATGCAATTGGTCTAGTTTTTCTCTTTTCTTGGTTGCACAAATGACATGTTTCACATTTTCTAGAAATCATCAGGCTGTTTCCAATGATTTTCTTGAACATATATTTTATTTCTGAATTATTTTTTAATTTTCGTTAAACAGGGTATTGAATATTTGTACCGGAAAGGCCTAAACACGTCCAATTTGTGAATGAAAACAAGGCATTATATTATTCACGGTATAACCACGCTGAAGGTCAAGAAATATCTATTATCGGTTCGATTATTCGATGATTTGAATATTTAAGGGATTGAATTTATTTATTTGATGTTAGTTCTCTTGGGTTTCTTTTAATTTACTAGATAGTAGAAGAATTGGTTGAATCTTGTTACAGTTTATGGACTTTGTTTACGTGATTGGGGGGGGTTTTGGAGGTGTGGAATTGGAGTTTCTGGAAATTTTAATCAATTGGTGAAGTGAGCATTGAAGGATGTGTTTAATTTAGTGGAATGGAAACAAAAGAAGATGGTGATGCACAAGAGGTGTCACCGTATCAGGTGTTACAGCAAATTTCCGAGGAGGCAGTTAGAGTGGCCGGCGAGAAGATACAGAGTGTATATTCAGGTAGTTCAAACATTCCACCATTGCCGCCAGTGCATAGACGCAGTCAAAGTGAAGTTCTAACAGCAGTACATAGGCGTAACAATAGTTTTCAGAGATGGAAATCTCAGGTGCAGAAGGCTTTGCGGTGGGGTAGCAATTTACGGGAACCGAGTTGTTGTTCTTCTTTTAATCCTGAGGTGTTGGCTAACCAAAAACGCCAGTGGTATCAGTTTCACTCAAAGACCTTGGTATGCTGCCTTGAGTTTTCAGATGAATACTGCTATTTATTATAATAAATTTTTTATTTTAATTTTTATGGCTGTGTTAAAATTTTCAGTTGATAATGTGGTTCTTCGGAGAATAGTAGACTAATGCTCTGAAAATGATTCCCCTGCAGCTGGCTTTATGCTGTCATGCAGCCATGCTATTCTTTTTCAGTCCTTTTTCCCCTTCTAGGTTTTTTATTTGTTTGTTCATTGCACTTTGTCACACACAAGCACACACACACATATATTTTGTGACACTGACTGCGGTTGATAATATCAAATTAACTGTTATCCATTTAATCAGTTTTCTGAAAATAGATACATTTTTTTTTATGTTCGATGCAAAACATACTCGTGCAATGACACAAAGAACTGTTCATAATATAAAATTAAATTGTTAATGCATTTTGTTGCACAACTTATAGAACTCATCTACCATTGTTTGGTTCAGAATGGCTGATGTACATTGAGCTGGAAGTTGAAAATCCACCACGAGTCATTGATGACTATGTTTATATTGTGATATACAAGTTACTACTGTCTACATGCAATGGTTTAGTTATTCTCTTCCAAAGTTTCAATTTTTAGCTATATAATTATGTCAGTAACACTTTTTTCATCTTGTCCATTAAAAACTATTATTCTTGCTTCTCTATCTGCTCTCTTTTTCAGCCCTCCCCTTGCTCTTTCAAGGACTTGAATTTACACTTATGGTTCAAAGAATTTAGTTTCACGGACTCGCTTCTTGATACTGTTATATATATAATTATCTTTGAACCGTATGCATCGCCTCCTATTTTCCCTTTTTTTTTTTTTTTTTGGATTGTTCTCGGTTTTCTTGATCAACTAAGAAATGAGTTTATATTAGAGGTCGCTAGTTTGAGTATTAGAGGAAGAGTGAGTATTAGAGGGAGTGCTTCCATTAGTTCTATGCATTAGATTTACGTTCTACTGTCTTCTGACGAAAATCACAAGTGTACTCTCAGTAAGTTATGTTAAGCTATGTTACAAAAGGTAACTCCTTTTGATTTTGCCGATTATGATTATTTATTTTATTTAATTTAATTTTTGTTTTGTTGACAACCATCAACACTAAAAGCTTAAGCTGTTAGAGAGGGTGCAACTTTAATATTTATATTCTTCAACATATCTTATGTTAAAAACTTAGATTTTGGAGTATGTATATTGATAATATTGCTTGTTTTTGTTCTTCCCTGTAGTTACAGTGATAATCATTTTATAATCTGTTACTTGGGTGCCTATCTACACATTGGGAAATATATTTACTCTTATACCAAGTAACTCACACGAGGATGCTTTGTAGGACCATAAAAAATATGAAGAACCGACCTCGCTTTTTGAACACTTTGTTATTGCGGGTCTTCATCCAGATGCTAATCTTGAGGTTGTGGAGGAGGCATTTGCAAAAAGGAAAAAGTGGGAAATAGCAATGGAAAAATCCGAAATGATAGATTTCAGAATGTTGCAGTACGGGGGACCTTCAATTCCAACATTGGAACCACAGGTTGGCTGTTTTTTCTATATATCTGTGTAAAAACTGAAGTTCTGCTTCATTCTGATTCAGTATCTTTGCCATCTATTTCTTTTTGTAGTCAACAACATGATACTTGTATTCTGCAACTGGTGTTTTTGCCTTGAGTATTTGATGTATGCCTCAGTTCTCTTTTAAGGTTTGGAAGAGTAATGTTCTAAGGCATTTTAGTTTGTATTCAGAGAATATCTGTCTATCGACACTCTATCTATATTTTTATGTTAGCTATCTGTTTAGTTATATTAGGGGAGCTACTTTTATTTGAGACAAAGTTTATATTATGTTATAGTATGAAATGAGTTAACTCGTGTTAGGGAAAATTTAGATGTTGTATCATTAAAAAATATCTTGTACGTGGTAACCTGACCTGCAGATATTGCGGCAATAGATTCTTAAACCACTGGTTGGTTTTCTTGGCCACAATTAACTGAAATCTGCATTTTGTTGGATATTTATTTTCAGTGTAATGCTTTTCAGTATAGTGCTGACATCTTATTTCATATTTATTTTTCTATTCTACAGATCCTTTTTAAGTATCCTCCTAAGAAGAGGTTAGCCTTGCGTATGAAGGATTTAGCAGCCTTCTGTTTTCCTGGGGGTCTTAAGGTATAATGTTGCCGATTTCTGTTGCTGTTATTATGAACTTTAGATTAAATTTTATTTAGCACCTTCATTTGGATTGATGTAGTGCCACATCACATAACAGAAGTTATTTCTTTAACTAGTCTCCAAGTTGTGATTTCGTGCGGAGTGAGATTATCTTTGCTTCATCAAATTGTATATATCGTTGGTTCATATTCATAATTTCATTCCAACTGTTTTCTCATGTTTTTCTTAATCATCTTTTCTTATTCTTTTTGGATTTCTCCCACCTTTTTATTCCATTGTAAGACATGTTTTTGGTCATGGCCTTGGTTCGACTAACCATTTTTTTATTTTTTATTTTATTTTTAGTCTAAGATTTAAGTCCTCACTCTTCAAGGTACTCTAAACAATTATTTCACTATGTTTGTGCACATCTTTTCAAATTAAGATATTTTTACCTCATTCCCCTGACTGGTAGTAGAATTAACTTATCTAAAGTCACTTCTAATTTACGTATCAAAGAAAAAAAAAAGTCATTTCTAATTTATCGGCAAGTAAAGTATAAAACGAATGGAAGAAAGGCAAGGAGGTAAGGTATTATTACTAACTGCATGGTTCATTCTGAATTGCTTTAGCAACTTCTTTTTTTTCGTTATTTTACAACTGGTATCTTCTGTGCAAGACTCAGTACTGAAGGGTCCACAAGACAGATATGTGGCCATCAGAACTACTTACAACTATCATCCTTGTCCAACGAACTCCTTTGAGTAATGATAGCTGTCTTAGTAATAGTAATTGTTGTAGGTGTAATAGGGATTACGTAGCAAAAATCTGTTTGATTGTGATTCTTTTCCCACCTCGCACATCTTGGCCCACAACGGGCAGGTGTATTTGTCATGTTTAACTTTAGAATCTCATAAAAATGTGTTATTACGTTGATTTTATTGAATAACTAAAGATGATTTTTTATGAGTAATGGCTCATACCTTGAATTTCAAGTCATCATTGGTGATAAAAAATTATGAATTTCTACATTTCACTAATTTTCTGGCCACGAATGCACTTGAACGAAATTTAATAAAAATTATTAAATGAACATGTTCAAATAACACTTCAGTGTCTCAATGTCACGAGCATACATAATATAAATGGGGTAGAATTGAGGTTACTAGTTAATGGGTGCATTATATCATTATCCTACCTCTTATTTGGCAGAGTATGAGCGATGATATAGACTTAGGGTGTGGGGTGGAATAGGCCTTATGGATATCATTTTGCTTTTAACTAATAGTTGATCCTTATGTGAAATTCAGTTGGTTAGTTGTAGAGTAGAGACAATTTTTTGCGTGGAAATCCCAACAGGAAAATATCACGGGACCTAATTTAGACAGGCACAATCCACTATACTAGAAAGAAGTTGCAACCAGTTTGACATGTCTCACACCTAGGGGTGACAATATTTGACACGACACGAGATAAGCGGGTTTGGGTTTGGACTAATCGTGTTCGTGTCGACACGGATTGACCCGCTAACTACACGTGTCGTGTTCGTGTTTGACCCTGTAAAGACGATTATGACACGATTAACCCGATTAACTAAACGTGTCAGATAAACGTGTCGTGTTCGTGTAAAAAATGACCCATTTAGCAAAACGTGTAGAATAAATATGTCGTATTTGTGTCAAAAATGACTTAAATGTGTCTTTTCGTGTCGTGTTCGTGTCAAGGGTCTTAGATACGATTAATAATCGTGTCGTGTTCGTGTCAACCCTAATCGCTTCCATGTCATAATTGTGTCGACACGAACACGACACGCCAACACGAATTGCCACCCCTACCACACCCTAAAACCCTAGTCACGTATTGATACAGACTGAAGCCAGACTTTCCACTCAAGTCTTTAGGCCATCCGTCCGCTTATCAACAGATTTTGCTCTTCATAAACTCGCTTTTTAGTGATTGTCCACCCTTTGTAATGGTTGATTTGGATCGTGTTGTTGAACTCCTCCTTGATGAACTCTCAAACACATATGATCAAGTCTATGGAAAGCCTAAATTGAGTTATTTTTGGGATTCTACTCTCAAGGATTTCATCTCCCTAGATGATCAGAGACTTCAAAATCATATATAGACTAACTACAAATGCATATTTATAGGCGATATAGGTATCCCATACGTTTTGGTAAGTTGAGTCGTGTTTTCAAAGAGTTTCTAAAAATTTATGTTTGGCATGTTTGATCAACCCCTTGATTGACACCCTCAGGAGTTTCCTCGATCAATTGACCATACAATCAATGCATTGCAGTTCAGTACAAATACAGTTTTAAAAAATGTTTAAATCTTTTAACTGTGAAAAGCTATCCCTCAAAAGCACATTTAAAATAACATTGTGAGCCTCACCAAGATCTTTTTTTTCCCCTCTTCACCAAGATCAAACTAGGTCAATTTAAGTGTTTCTAAGGTAACTTACCTGTGTCCTAGATATGTGATTGAGGATGCGAATTTATCGACATGTTCTTCGCAATTCTGTGTCTGCCTTGTTTTCAAATGACTCAAGACACTTTGACTTCTAAGAAGGAAATCAACACGACTCATATATCTAACACTAGTCCTAAATGGAATCAGTGAGTGACATGAAGGATCCTCAAACTAAGACTGAGAGTGGAAGCTACTTCATTCAGCTGCTGCAGCCCAGATTGTAGGAAATATATATATAAAAGATTCCAAGATGTTATTATTCCGTGGTTGCTCTGAGAACTAGATTGGTGGATAATCTATGAGATGAGAAGATCAGGTGGGGGTGTGCTTCGCCATAGCTTTGTTGTGGCCAGGCCCTTGTCGTTATTATTAATTATACGAGAATCCTGGATTCACTTGCCTTACTTTAGAGAGACATCACGAACTGCGCAGCCTAATTTCGTACCCCAATGTATGAAACTTTCTTGATGCTGAATTACCTACTACTTTTTCTTAGCTTTTCGCTAGGGAAATACTACCAGCAAGAGAAGCTATATCGGTTAGTTTTCCGGCTTTGGTGCGGCTATCTGTCTGCTGTGGGCAGCCTTTTTTTTGGTAAGTCCTTCTTGTTATTATTGGAGATGCCGCAAGGATGACCATTAGTAATCACTATCAGGATAATACTGAGGATGCCCTGATGACAACCATGATTAATTACTTTTAGGGTAATACTGCCTTGGGGAGGGTAATATATCCATAAGGTTATCGTGCACATGTATATGATGGCCAGTATGGTGGATGATAGTTTGTGATGAATTTCTTAATCTGAAGTCCCAAAGCTTCGTAATATAGTTGAGGAGTCTTCAAATGATTCTTGTTGCTTCTGTCTTCTCTTTTAATAAGTTGAATCTCCACTAGTACTAGGAGTACCAAGATTTGAAGGTCTGAGAGGCAAAGAAGGAACAACTCTCCTACCTTCTAATTGTCTCAAACGTGATCTAGTTTGTATACCTTCAAAATCAGCTCCCTTACCAAAAGACTCATCACCACACCATAACCATGTGCTACTCCAACGTCGCTATCACCACTGTCACCATCAATGTCAACAGATGGACTCAAACCACCAGGGCACCACCATTATCAATTTGATTAGGTGTCGGACGACTTGGACTTGATTCAAAGAGGGATGAGCACAGCTGAGACAGACCTGGTAGTTGAGCAATTACGTATCCAGTTGTTGTGCTTTCCTTTTTTTTTATTCACGGAGCAGGGGGATCATACTCCCCATAAATGTTATATACATAGATGGGATTGAACTTGTTATTAATAACCAGCTTGCTTCTACAGGGTATAGCTCAACTTAAATTTCATGTTGCAACAAGTGGATACATATTTCTTAACCTTAGTATATTTCTATCCATTTATCGTTTTGTGTGCGACTGAATATGCTCCATTGAGGCTTGCAGTTATATAATGATGTTGTTTGACTAAGAAGTTTGATCACAATTTGTTGCAATTTGGGATCAGAAGTTCCATAAATAACCCACTATGTAGCTGCAAGTATATGAATGAACTTGATCAAGAATGTAAGACTTAAGAGACAATGAACTATATCTTTTTGTTGCATTTATGTATTTAAGTTGAGTAGTAGTTTATTTGTCAGGATTTGTGTGCTTGATGGCCTTTTATGCTAGAGTGCCAAAGTTTCTTTCTTGTTCTTGAAATAACAATAATGTAGACTGGAAGCTCCAGAGCAAGACCCACCATCATCACTATTTTTATGTTTGATCAAGTGAAAAATCAGAGAAATATATTTTTTAAAATGAAAAACTTACTAATTGTTTGAAGTCCTTAAAGGTATTGTTTTAAATTGGAGGTTCAGCTATTGTTCTTTTTCTATTTTTTTGAAATGGTTTGGAGCTAAATCTTAGGTGTATGTACTGGTATTATGGGTCTCTTGACTGAAAGAAGGAAAAAACAAAAAAATGAACAAAAATCTAAGTTTGTAAGTTCACTGCCTAAAAGTGCCATTTTGGAGCGTAATGGGCGTTACAAATGTGATTCATAAGTGCACCGTTATAACGGCGCTCGGGAGATATACAAGCATGTTGTATTATGTTATAATGAAACCAAATTCATCATTTTTGTCTCAATCTTTAGTTTGTCTATTCTATGTATAGTTCCTATTTCAACGAAAAGTACTGTGTTTTACACTCTGACGCTGACATATATCCATCATTAAATATATCATATAACCCCGTGTGTTTATGTTACAATGCAGGCACGCGTATTGGAGAGGACTCCGTCTTTAAGTGATCTGAATGAACTTGTTTATGGACAGGTATGACAAACTGGATTTAAGACTGTTCTAATGTTTTGCTCGTCTCTTAATATAATCAACAATGTCGTTAACGCAAGTAAATTCAAAGAATGAATTGCTTCCATAACCATGATCGGAAGTGTGATATACATCTTGTAAATTTCTGTTGTTCCATGGATACAACGGTCAACATAACATTAAAATTGTCAAAAAAAAAAAAAAACAACAGGAGAATTCATGGATACATAATATCTTTTACCAGAAAGATAATGTAAAAGTATTTTTTAAAATACAAAAATTCAATTATTAACTATAAGTATGACACTAATTTGATAGTATTTTGGCGTTTGTGTAAAATTTATCTATTTGTGTCACTGTGGATTTATGACCGGTCTTTTCTAGGATGAGGCTTGATGGTGTTCTAACTGATGCTGGTTAGAACTAATTTGATAGTATATTCAGCGTTTGTGTAAAATTTATCTTTTTGTGTCGCTGTGGATTTATGACCGGTCTTTTCTAGGATGAGGCTTGATGGTGTGCTAATTGACGCTTGGTTAGAACTATGTAGAGGCTAAATATACCAGATTCAGCTTATGTTAGGATCAAAACAGGCAGAAAGAACAAGAAAATAAAAAAGGGACCATTTTCTCTCCTTGATTTACATTCATTGAAAAGACAGAAATGGAAGATGATGTTTCCACGTTTAACTAGAGCTGGACGGATTAATTTGAGAGGTGTTCTTGGATGGTTTTGTGATAATTGATATGATATGGTCATGTGTAATGGAGATGAATATGATTCTAGAAGGAGAGAAACTTATATGTTAAGGGACCATGAGAAAGATTTGACACTTTAATTCAATAGTTATTTGTATAATATATATAACATTTGTTGTTTTCTATAAACTAAATTCAATATAATATGCCCTTATGGAATGATAAAAGTTAAAATAGCTGTGGATGATAAAATTTTATCACATAGCTGTGTAGCTATTGAAAACTCTTATATAACTGTTCTCTCGGTAATGAGAAAAAAAAAAAAAAGAACTGGAATTTTGATAGATGTAACAAATATGCTATTTCACTTTTAGGCATTTACAGAGTAAACTATGACATGTTTTTAATCTTCCTTAAAATTTATAAATTCATGCCAAGGAAATAAACCGTTGAAGTTACTTTTAGGTGATTGATGGAAGGATTATGAGAGAAAGTAGATGATTTTTAATCTTGGGCTAAGTGGCAGTAACATGGACAGAGACACACTCTGACATGGATATGCCAATATGTTGAATTTTAGAAAAATAGGGTAGGGAAATGACACAGGGATTATATGAATATAATTTTTTTGTATGCATCTATTAGTCATGGCAACTATATAATACTAAATAATTTTTAATTTTACGCTAAGAGTTACATAATTTAGAGATGCTATGCAAATATGGAAATTATACTATATTGCTCTACTTGGGCTTTTTCATTAAAATTATAATTACATTTTTATAAATATAAATTATGTGCATAGTGTTGATTTCTCATCAAGAAAAAAGGCTGGACAGTTTGAGATGTGTCATGGATGCGGATGTTACACAGACGTGCGTCAGGTATGGGTATGCAACCAAGCATCAGATTGTGTCAAATTCTCGAACAAAAAGACTGCTAAATATTCATCTTATTTAGTTGAAACAATACTATAATAAAATCAAAATATTTGATATACTTTTTATGTGCATGTTTAACTAAAAATGTTGGACACATATCCCCTATGCATGTCTAGTGACGGAGATGGGAATTCATTTCAGGAGGGGTGCCATATTAATTAGGATAATTTTTTTTTTTTTTTTTTTTTTTTTTTTTTTTTTTTTTTCTGGCAAACAAGCCGAAAAATAGAAGTGTATGGTACATTAATCAAAACTAATATTGTCTTAATAATTCAAAAAGCAATTGCTGTAAAAAAAAAAATTCAGAAACATAAAATACGACATTAAGGTTCCTTTTGGCAACAAGATCTATTTTGCATTTTCAATTTCATATGAAGTAGAAACAGTAACGTTTTTTTTTTTTGTGGTGTGATTTATTTCAAAACAAAAACATGTAACTAATTTGTTGCACGATGTTTCATAAAAAAAAAATATTTGAATTATTTAAATAAATGGCATTTACATTATATTGTTTTTTTAAAAAAAATATTCTCATTACAGTTGTTCAGCTACAATAACACAAACAAGTGAAAAATAAAGAAAAACAAAGAAGAATAAAAATATATATATATATATATATATATATATTAGAGAACTTTGAAGGGAGAAAAATAAGAGTTTGATTGAATAAATAAATGAAGAAGAAGAGTAGTAATGAAAAGAATGAAAGAATTAGAGAGAATTTTAGAAAAGGATAATTTTTTTTTTTGATAAGTAAAAATTTTATAAAAAACGCTCAAAAGGGGAGCGGATCCCAAGGAAACACAAACGCCAAAAAAACGCCTCAAGCCTTCAAAGAGGCCAAAAAAGAAGCAATCTCCTCAAAAGATCTATAATCTCTCCCTGAAACCCAACAAAAAAGGGTGGAAATAATAGAGAACTTAAGCATAGAGACAGGCTTCTCCTTTCCATCGAAATATCTCCGATTTCTCTCCAGGGGGCATTTTGTAAATTTTTATAAAATTGTATGCGTGGGTGTAAAACAAAAATAATAATAATGGGGCCAGCGTTGGCCCAAAGGGCCGTCCCTGCGCATGTCTGAGTATTGCGTGTGCAATATGATTACTTCACCAACTTTTAAAGAGTTCATGTAGCGTAGCTCTTAGCTGTGTTTATGTTATATAAGACTTGTGCTGGGAATATCTGGGGTGTGTAGGCCATCGGTATAGGATGTGTTGGCTAAGTGTTACACTAATGTTTGTGAAATTACTGACACGGACACGACACATTCATAGAATTGTCCTTATTTCTATTCGGTCTGCATAAGTATTAAATTAGTGTAGAAGGTTTGGAAGCTAATCAAGTGGGACCCTTAAAAGGAATTAGTTTCGCCAGTTCAGCTGAAGGGTGGTTTCGAATAATGTTTCATTTGGGGGGGCTTTAAAAAAGAAGCAGACTCTTGATATTGGATATAGATGCTTGCTTAATGGGCTATGTTCTTTGGTTAGATGGAAGGATGTAGTGGAATTCTTCATGTGACATGCTTGTGGGACTTGGAAATTTGGGTGATTGATTCCTTTAAAAGAGCGTGTGGATGTGTGATTTGGAGGTCGTATTGAAACTAGATATATATATATATATATATTATTTTATTATTATTATTTTTTTTTGTTAAGTAATGGAGCCATATAATATTCATGAAACCAATTATAGAGGATGTTGGTGGAGGTACTAATTTAAGCTTGATGTCACCAAATTTATGGCATTGCAAATAATTATTGCAAGTTAGTTCTAATTAGATGGTTGCAAGTTGATATGTTGATTTTACATTGTTCTCATAATTGATGGGTAGCCACACCTTTTATGTGGCCTCCTTTAAGCAGTTTTCTACTCCCTTCAAATAAATAACATTTTTGTTTTTATATTTCCATCAACAGGAGCATTTAGGCAGGGATAATTTAGCTTTTACATTTTCACTTAAGGTGAGTCAGTTTTATGTTCTCATTTTATTTTTATATTTGAGCTTACTTATAAGTTGCTTTCACAGAATGCTATATAACTATATAAGTTGATTCCAGTAGCTGGGATTCTGTCAATTACAGTGACAATAACAATTTCTTGAAGTTCCTTCTTTATTAAGATGCCATATTGGCTGATCTTTTATTTGGTGTATACTTTCCCTTTTTATCCTCGTGAATGTTTTTCCCTACTCTTTTACATAAATTTATATAACAACACTATTGTTTAAATTATTCCATGGTATTTTTTGTTACTTTGAAAATGTTTTTCTGCAGATGCTGGTTTTTTGGATATATTTTATTTAATGTATACTTCTCCATGTATGCTGGTTCTGGAGATTCAGTTACAGTCTCGGAATAAAGTGTTGTCAGTCATTTATTCTGTTTTTAGTATACTTTCTTAGTTCTCCACCAGCTGCTGGTTTTGGTATCTTTTATTTAATATGTTCTGTCTTTTGTTATCCTTGTGAAATGCTATTCCCTTGGCAATTGCATTTTTTGGTGCACTGTTGAAATAGTAATTGTACAACAACATCAACAACCAAGCCTTTTCCCAATTACTTTGGGTCGGCTACATGAATCCCATGTTTCCATTCCACTCTAATTAAGGCCATAGCCTCAGTCAATCCACATTCTATCATATATCTTTTTTTACTAACTCTACCCACATTAACTGGACTGAAATGGTAATTATAGTTTAATTATTTTGATATTTTTGGCCCTGCAATTACGTCTCCATGGATGCTGGTTCTGATGATCCAGTTATGTCTTGGAATGATTTCATATTAGTCTATCATTGTCGAGATTACTGCCCTAGCCTTGTCTTTGAGTAGTATGATTCCTTGGTTTTGGTTCTGGGGTTTTTTTTGTGCATGCATGCATGCGTACGTATATTGCACTGCCAATAAGATTGGGATGTGGCAGTAAGAGTTATTAGAGTTATCGAATGTAGTTTACTATGTGATTGGAAGAAAAACATCACGAAAGACACAACAATTACTGCTTATCTATTTGCTGGAACTAATCAGGTTTTCTCTGGTATTCTATGTTCTACAGTGTACTTAATTAAGAATATAGAGTTTACTGGAGCTAATTGTGCCAAGTGATTTCTTTTCATTTCTTTTGTGAAAGAGTAAAAGTTATCTGATATTAATGTATATGTAATATTGTTTCATTTTATTAGAATGGTTTTACTTATTTTCTCTGCATACATACATATATATATATATATATAGTCTAATTTGTCATTTTACCATCTAAATTTATGTTGGAACCGATTGATAATTTATTTAAACTGTTGATCATTGGAAATGAGTACAGAGTAGTGTTCTCTGTGGTATACGCAATGTCACCATGTGAAGGGGGTATCAAACTTTCACCATGAAGTGTTTTCTACTTCTAATAGGCCAACTAAGAAACAATTTGACTACAACGTCCGGGAGTCAATTTGAACTCTAGGCCAACAGCCTTCACCATGTGAAGGGGGTCTCCTCTCACCAAAACCCGATGGTAGTAAATATAAGTTACTGTGAAAAGGAAAAGCATATGGTGAAAATTTGCTGTGGACAAGGAGTTCATGAACTAGGGCGGGTAGAACAGTCCCAATCCAGTACCACTTCCCAAAAGCTAATAAAAGCTTCGTGAAGTGTTGTCTACTTCTAATTGGCCAACTAGGAAAGAATTATTTCGAGTCCATAAGAAGTGATCACCTCCCCCCTAGTTCTTGATTCAAGTGGGTAGGGTGTGGTTGGTATGGTTAAAAGAAATTGATTTGGTAGGGCAACATTAAGGTCTCTTTTGACATAGAATGATATCAAATATATTTATTTATTTATTTATATTATTATTATTATATGTAGAGGGCAACATTAGGGTTGCGTTGGGATTTTGGGTTGTGATTGGAAGAGGAATTCGTTTTGCTAGGCCTTATTATTATTATTATTATCATTATTTTTGAGAAAAATGACACGTTCTTGATCTCCTATTGGTGCCATGCCATTTATGTATTTTAGCGCTTAAATATTAGGACTAGCAAAAAAACCCAAACATTATGACTGCTAGAAAGAAGATTAACATTCCATTAATGTATTTTAGCGCCTAAATATTAGAACTAGCAAAAAAACTAAACACTATGACTGCTAGAAAGAAGATTAAAGATAAGAATTGGTAAAGAAAACATATCTAGAGGCGGCATTTCTTGTAACTTGGTTATAGAATGATGTGGATAATGAGATATACCAGTAGTAGCAGATGGATTTTTGGGGAGAGGATGTTAGTACTTAAAATCATGCCTTTTTCATTAGGGGATAGTGGTAATGGCATACAGGACGCCAGTGTCTAATTTTGGAATTGTATCATATTTTTTTCTTAAATTTCTTAGTGAAAGTGACCAATTGAGGGATTGAGAGGCCAGTTCAGGTGTCTTGATGGGAGTTCCTAAATTGGCTAACAACCATTGGTAGGGTGCAATGGGAATATAAATCTAAAGGGCATGTTGTTTAGTATGAAAGGATGCCTTGCTTAAAGTTCTTCATCAGTTGCATAATGTGTGTATGTGTGGAATCTTGGGGAGGGTGGTTGGGGTGGCTTTATGGGTGTTTGGCGCATAAATGCCTAACAGCCAGTGGTAGGGTGCAATGGGAATATAAATCTAAAGGTCATGTTGTTTAGTATAAAAGGATGCCTTGCTTAAAGTTCTTCATCAGTTGCATAATGTGTGTATGGGTGGAATCTTGGGGAGGGTGGTTGGGGTGGCTTTATGGGTGTTTGGCGCATAAACGCATGATTATTGTGATTGTAATGGCAGTAGATGTTGGCTAATGTAATATGATTTTGGGGCATTTTGGAAAATCATAGCCTGTCAATAGTTTGAAAGCTTTTACTTACCAGGTGGGGGAGTTGAAAGAGGGGATGTTTCACATTGTAGGACTGTCAATAGTATGACTTGAGTTTGGGAAGACCACGTGAAACTGCTGCTATTCCAATCTTTCCCAAACCCGGAGTGGTTAGGTGTAACGGGTCAGTTGCTTGCCATCCAACCAAAAAGCTTAAAGGCCTGTTTGCTAGTGCTTTTGAATAGTACCGAAGCGCTTCCAAAATTGAGGCCAAAATCGGAAGCATCAAAATGATGCTTTTGTTTGCTTCCGCACTGTAGCAAAGCACTATTAATTAATTAATTAATTAATTTATTATTATTTTTTTTTCCTTTCTAAAATAACATTTTTAACTAACCATTCAAATTTTCAAACTTGCAACACTTTTTACCAAACATGTTTTCATGTTTTTGCTTCTAAAAATCTTGTAACAAATTTACGTTACCAAACAAGCTTCTAAATAGTGTTGAACACACTCTAAAAGTAGAAACATTGCTTCTGCTTTGGGTCAAAGCAAAAGCACAAAGCAACTGTGGTTGCCAAACGGGCCCTAAGTTGTTAAATGGTGCTGCCTACCGAAGGACACCCAACCCAATCCGATGGGAACCCATGACATTCTCCCTCACTTGAACCCGCGACATCCTTGTTGCAATCGGGCTACCCCTCCGGCGGGAGGCCTGGACACCTCCGTGTGGGCGTTGGGCATGACATTGGGATAAGGAACTGGGTTTGCTCTGATACCAACTATAATGGGCTTGCCATCTAACCCAAAAGTTTTAAGCAATTAGGTGGTGTTGCATACTCACCCTATAAGTCCTTCTCTTCATAGGGCTCCGATGTGGGACAAAAACTCGTAATATTTTCCCCCACTCAAACTCATAACACCCTTGTTATGGTTGAACCACCCTACCTATCCGTCCACTCTAATTGTGGAAGGACCCAGTAACGTAACGACCTGGCCCTCCATGTGGGCGCTTGGCATGACATTGGATCAAGGATTCAGTCTGCTCTGATACCACTTGTAATAGGTCGAGTGCTTGCCATCTGGACCAAAAGCTTTAGGGCCTGTTTGTTTGGGCTTCTAAGCCCAGGAAGTCCTCCAATAATAAAGAGTGTTTGGTGAAGTTTTTGAAAACGGATTGACCAAAGACAATAAAACATGCTTCTTGATTGACTTCCTGCAAAATAAATACAAAATTCCCATATTTGTTCGATAGTTAAACCTATTTCTGGATTCATTGCAAACTCTTCTCTCTATATATCATCTTCTCAGTTGGTTCTCTCCCCAGGGAGCAAAATTTCTGGACACAATCTGCCTCGTCTTATCCTACACAGTCTGAATTCACGGATCTTTGTTGAAAAACAGATTGTTGAGAAACAATTCAACAAACCTTCTTTCGACCTATCATCGATTGGCAAACACAGATTTCATCTCTAGCTAATTGGTAACATGTTGGCGTGAAGTATCCTCAACTCTGGTTCAAGCATCACCCAAATTTGTTTGTTAGTTAAACCTATTTCTGGATTCATTGCAAACTCATCTCTTTCTATATCATCTTCTCAGTTGGTTCTCTCCCCAGGGAGCAAAATTTCTGGACACAATCTGCCTCATCTTCTCCTACGCAGTCTGAATTCACAGATCTTTGTCGAAAAACAGATTACTGAAAATCAATTCAACATTGATTTGTTTATGGGAAATCTGTTTTTATCCTTGTTTCAACCTATCATCGATTGGCAAAAACAGATTTCATCTCTGGCCAATCGGTAGTATGCTGGCGTGAAGGATCCTCAACTCTGGTTCAAGCATCACCCAAAACCCCATGAGAGTGATTTGGTCTTTGATCTGATCGATTAAATCAATAACTATACACAAAATATAAGTATATATATGTGTGTATATATAGAGAGAGTAAGAGGGTTGGAGAGGGGTAAAGAGAGAGTGCAAGGGGGCTCCAAGCATGAGCCTTCATTAGGTGGTGGATTTCATGGATTTATATGCACTGGTGTTAAAAAGATGAAATTTATGATCAACCAATCTTAAGAGTTCATTTAGAGATTGAAAAAAAAAAAAGGATGAAAATGAATCTACAAACTTCAATCAAGTTTCAGTGTAATGGATTGGAGGATCTCTTCTTTCTGTATGTAGTTTTTCTATTTACTTAATTCTCATTTTATTGAATTTCTTCGTATTTTCTCTTACTTTTTTATGTTGCAAATAGTAATGATAATTTAAAAGTTCCATGGAAATGGTGGTACAGAAGAGATGGGTTTGGATGGAAATGTGGTACACATGAGATGGGTTTGGGTGAAAATGAGACGTAACGAAGATGGGTAATATTGTCAAGCAAACATAATCTAAACATTAAAAGACACTTGTGAAACACACTCACCAAACATCCCTTTTTTTTTCAAAAATCTCTAGCAAAGTTACTTCTATGAAGCCCTCATCTAGAAGGAACCTATAACACTAGGTGCCTTTGAAATCTGAATGAGTGGCAAGAGTAGAATAAAGGGTGAAATGAGTAATATTTCTGGGATGGGTGACATGAATAGAATGGAGGGAATGCGGCGGGATCATTTGCTAGAATAAAGTTTGGTCAATAATTTTGGATATATTTAAATAGTCATATGGACTCTTTTAAGTGCAGACGAGCCTTCTTAAGAAATGGGATGCAAAGCCATAAGAAGGAGCCCTAGGGTAATAAAGAGGATGTTTTTCTTACAGAGGAAAAAGTGCTTGGCTATATCACATGACAATAGCAAACATCAATTGGAGCTGACTATGTAGGTATGCTCAGACTCAAAAATTAGGTTGGATAAGGTTTTGTCGGTTTGAGTATCCATCATTTTAAGGAGATAAAATGGAAGGTTCCTTCCTATAAGAAGGGAGATTTGATGGAGACTATTAAGAGGTGCATTGCTAATAAGGTGTTTGGTATTTATCATCGATAGAGTTACTTTATGTATTAAAAATCATAAGCATCTTTGTGCTACGTTATGTTGTTCTTCAAAAGATAGTTATTTATATATGTATTTTCTTGTTACCTTTTGCTTTAAGCTCTGACGTAAACTTGTTGAATTGTGGAAAAACTTGGTCTAGGCACTTCAAATTATTCTTAATGTGTTTGTCATGATGAGAAGGTATGCTAGATTTCTTGGCATATTCATAATTGGTAATATTCCTTGGTGAGAGAGTTTTGTTTTGGTTGTGTTTTGATTGTGTCTTGTAGCACATGAATTTGCCCGAGATACAATATTAGTTAGTTTCTGAAGGGATTCTATGTGCCTTTGTTCAGGGGGCAGACAATGCGACACTTTATGGTGTTTGCTTACATGTACAAGAAATTGTTCAGAGATCACCGGCTAACTTAAGTGCCTTATCACCTCTTCCCCAATCATCTGGAGGATGCAGTCGTTTTTTGGTTTCTGCACCTCGCTGTTATTGTGTTTTAACAAGAGTTCCTTTCTTTGAATTACACTATGAGATGTTGAACAGGTTTGCATTAATTTTGTTATTTTTTTGTGGAAGACTCTGTAATACATAAGCATTCTTTCTCTTTAATATGCATAGACATATTAATTTGTGAAATGTACTTGCACATTTCTGTTTGTTGTAATTACTTGGATGCAGCATCATTGCGGCAGAGCGTCTAAATCGGATTACCCAGTTTGTTAGTGAAATGACTTTTACTGATTATATCCCCTCAGTACCCAAACTACACGATCAAATGAATGAGAACATTGATTACCCATTCAGGGATTGTTTTACGGATTGGACGGCTTCTGCAATTCCCGTTGACAGTGCAGTAGCCCTTGCTGCTGCCGCTGCAGGCATTATACCAGGTGATGAGGTCCGGTCCTCTTCATCAAGGCAAGAATCTCAGTCTCCTGAAATTGTTACTGCAAGTGAGGCTTCAGTTCATATCCAACCAAAGGAAATATATAAATGTGGCAGAAAGTATTTGCATTATTTTGATGGTTATGCATCTGAGGCCTCAGTAAATCGCTCTGATAGTTTAGAAAGGATCTGTGGAAGTTACGAAAATGGCCAAACTACTCCGGAGATCGGAACATATGCCTGGCCTAGGAGCCGTACACTGGAGCGTCTAGGAAGTTCTGAATCCTTGTTCAGGTGGTATTCTTATCATCCACAAGTAGTTGGGAAAGTGAGAGTTAACTTTTTTAAAAAAATTATTTTTTATCTTGCTTTATTTCTTAACGGAATCTATTAGTATCGGAGAATTATGCTTACTAGTCTTATTTGGATGAAATTTTTATTAATCATCTGTTTTTTTGCTTTTAAATGTCGTTGGCTTCTCTTTGGTCATTCATGGCACATATTACTCAATAAGTATGTTGTTGTTAACCATATGTATTCCTCTCTTTTGGTATGATTTCAGTTAATATATTGTTGGCTTTTTGGCAGTTCAGTGAAAAGCATTGGATCGGAAGATGAAGACGATGAAATATTTTTAAGCCATGAAAAAGATGCTGGGGATAAGATGATATTAGAATGGGCTAGGGTTGGTTCATATGCTTTCAAATTTATTTGATGTTGGTGACATTTGATTTCCATTTATCATTATATTTTGTCATCTCTATTACAGGAGAACAAAAATGATCTGCTACAGATAGTTTGTGGTTATCATGCCATGCCTCTTCCAGCCCGAGGAAGCATAGTAGTTTTCCAGCCACTTGAGCATCTTCAGGCCATCGCGTATAGGAGGCCTCCAGTTTCTGCTCTTGGCTTAAGTGAGAAATATCTAGATCGAAAATTGCTGGATTCATTAGAAGCTGCCGAGGTATGAGGTTTGGCTATTGTTAGGATTTGCGCATTTTTTTTTTAAACATATCCAGTCAAGATTGCTAAAAATGGTGAAACATTACAAGGTTAATTTGAAGTTAGCTGGTGCCGAGGAAGCTGTTGCACTATCAATATGGACAACGGCAACTATTTGTCGAGTTCTTTGCCTTGAAAGTGTAATCTCTTTTCCAGCAATGTAATCTAAGCTCAAGTTAATTAGTTCCTATGTCTTTTAATCATGTGAATTAAATGATCTGTCAAGTAACAAAGTGGTTGATATCATATTTAGTCTCACCTGTTTTTTGCAATCAATTTGTTTAAGATATATATATATATATATATATATATATATATATATTTACACGACTAGGAAGTTTTTCAATTTAAGCAAAAAGAGTTAATTACAAAAACGTTACTTGAGAGCCTACGGTTTCACATTCCTTTGCTAGTCTTTTTTGCCCCCTTGTGGAAACATGAAATTTACGCTTGAATAGAAGCAGAACCTTTTTTTTTTTCTTTCCAAATTCATCGAAGATAAGAGTGCTATCACGTTAATTAGTGATGGGACAATTAAAACCCAAAATATGACACCGGAGATTTATTGTGTTTTATATTAAGCAAAAGATATATATATATATATATATATATATATATATATATATATATATATAGATATATGGCATCTTCTTGCTATCTGTTGTTAGTTCTTCTGATATTTATTGTACTTTGTTGCCACCAACTTGCTTATAATTTATAATAAAAGAATACAAGAAATTTTAGTAAGTACAGATACATTATTTGAAGGTCTTAAACAAAATACTCAAATAAATAAATAAATAAAAGCTTCTAATGTCTTGGCTTAAGTGAAGGTGAGAAAAGTAGCTCACACAGTGAATCTGATTGGTTGACAATACCATATTCAAGACATGTCTTATGTGGAAATTTTATTTTAAGTTAGCATAAAAATTTATGTCCCTAGTTAAAGGGGTTTTTCTGGTGAAAAAAAAAAAAAAAAAAAAACTAACATATATATATGCAGCCTACAAATAGAAAGAAAATATGTTCCTCTCTTGATAACAAACAATATTAAAGTTCTCCTAAAAACTAATTGTTAAGTAACAAAAATATCATTTATCTACTGTGTTACCAAGATGGTTTCTCAAAAAAATTTAATTTGTTGGGGAAAATATTATTTACTGCAAGTGATTATGTGGTTGATAGTATTTATTGGATAGGGATAAATGTTCTGTTGCCTTCTGTTAGTGCTATGTAGCAACAATTTTTGGAGCAGATTTGTATATTTATCTCAGTATATTTAGTCAAATATTAATTTTTTTCCCCAACTTTTCTCTCAATTGCTTACTGCCACTTTAGAATTACTACAGATCAATTTTTTATTCATCAGAAGGCTCATAAATAGTATTTAATGAAATGGGTGATTGTAGTGTGACTAATAGCCAATTCATTTGAATCCCGTGAAAGCAAAGTCGATTTTATACTTGATGCTATTGAAGAATAGAAGGTTAACTGTGCCAAATCACATATACAAGGAGATAAATGCTTTGTGGCAAGATACAAGTTTTGCAACATCTAGGAAGACTTTCTTTTTAATCGATCCACTTGATGTTAAGATATGCTGAACTAGATTTTTTATTTTTTTATTTAATTTTTTGAATTTGGAGGAGAGTTTGAGTTAGACATGTATTCGTTAAATCTGATGCTTTCATAATTTAAGAATGAGCACATCTCATTTGATCTATGTTGAATTGTAAGTTTCTATAAGGGAAACAGAGGTAGAGCCCAGAGGGTGCTAAAAACTAGGGGAGCACAAATTTACTGGCTCAATTGTGACCTGAACCAACCTGGCCTCCATGGGTTGGATTGGTTCCATAATGATTGTCTTGGTTTGGTTCCTGTTCCAAATTATTGGAACTGTGTCAACAGTCTATGCCGGTTTAGTGCTGGGTTTAGTGCTCGGGTTATCTGAAATTCTGAAACAGCCCAACACTGAAACGTCAAAACCTATATATTCAATAAACATGATGAGAGGTCTTTGTGATTGGAAGTGAAATCTTATTGTCATACTCCACACGCAGTGGCATTAAATATTAGGAGAGACCCTAAATTTTCTTCATCTCTGTCTTAGCCACCTAGTTGCTTTCTCACTTCTAAATTCAAAACTACAGGCGTTGCTGTTTAGGGATGTTTCTCTTGGCCTCTCACCTGTCATTCTCAGTCTCAGATCTGAAACATTTCCAAACTTCATTATTATTCTTTCTTGAAGGTTTCCTTTAAGATATTTAACTATGTATAGAACAGAGCCTTCCCTCTCCTTTTCTCTATCTATAATTTTTTTACTTATGTCTTAGATTCTTCTTCTTTTTTACTGAGGATTTGTTTCTCTTCTCTCTCTCTCTCTCTCTATATATATATATATATATATATGTATATATATACCCCTCTAAAATGCAAGGTATGATTTTCAAACTTCAATTTTGACACTAGGGTTTTGATGCAAATATTAATGATGTCTTAGAAAGTGTCTCGAAGAAATCAAAGAGTCATTCTTGTTTTTTAATACTAAGTAATAATTAAGCTTTGCAATTATGAAGAGATTACTTTGGAAAATGAAAAGCTGTTATTAATGCTGAATGGGGATTCCAAAGTCTATCTATGGAAGATTGCATGTCATTTTTGGTTGTATTATAAAAGAACAGCCCATTTTCTCTTCTGTAACTAGTCTTTATCAGTAATATTATCAGTTTGTTAACTTTTCTTTTGGCTTTTCCTAGATTTCCCTTTATAAATCTAGTAGGCTGCAATGGTGATCGGAGTGATTCTAGTCCTTCTTACTGCTGTAGGAGGATTACTTTCGAAATTCTGTTTGCTGCAAAGTTTTTATAGTTCAAATGATCTTCATATCTGTATGCTTTAGAAAATTTTGTATTAGGCACAATACTTGGCTGGAATTGAGAACCAACCAGGCCTTAACCCAGGCTGTTTTGATTTAGTTCCTTTGCCTGTTTGGTGGTTCTGTACCATTTTTCAGAAACTGACTAAGCTTGGTTAGCTTTTGGGATTGGCTTTTACATGAACCGTGTGCACCACTAGTTAAAATGAGCAAGTGTCAGTGTTCTTGAATGAACAAAATAGCTAAAGGAGAATTTTGTTAATGGATCAATAGTCCCTTTACAAGGCTGTTAGAACTTCTATTGATAAGAAAAGAACACTATGAGTACAAATAAATTAAATAATATCAAATTCTAGATCGTTAATATCTCTAATTGTAACTGCACTATAACAAATGAAAAAGAAAGATAAAAGGTCAGAACCTCTACATAATAATGTTATCATAGCATGATGATGTGGCACTAAAGTAAGGTGAACAGTTCACGCTATAATACTGCTACAGTACAACATCGCTTCAGTAATTGTTTCATTTCTTTTCTCCTGCATAACACTTTTATTTTTTTCCCCTATCATTGCAGACTTTTCAGTTTAAATATGTGAAAGAACCATTTAGTATTAGTATTTTGAACATTCCGGTTTATATGTTGCAGCTAATGTGGTCCATGTGTTTTCATATTGAGTCTGAATATGATGAATAATGCTTCTTCCAGGTTCTGGCATTGCTAGCGGGGGTATTACTGGAAAAACAAGTGGTAGTAGTGTGCCCTAATCTGGTAATTTTATTTCAGAGTAATAATGTCAATCTGGAGACTGTTGATCTCCTTGTTAATGTTGGTTTTTAGACATCATGAGCAAGAACTATTTTGCAAGTCCTAGGAAATAACCTAGTGGCAAAACTCTTACCTCACATCTTGGAGGATGGGAGTCCGAATCTCCTTGGAGCCACCCCAAGGGAATTTTTTCGGTAATTGTCAGATGCACGTGGCAAGGGAGGACTAGATGTGCCCGCTGGTAAACTCTGGGACTTGAGAGGCCCGACACCACCATCATCGACAAAGGAAAAATAAACAAATAAATAGAAAAAAATTTCATTCGTCTTTTTAAATCACAAATTTTAATCCATGCAGGGTGTTCTATCAGCTATAGTGCTATCTCTTATTCCCCTGATCCGTCCATTTGAATGGCAGAGCTTGTTACTTCCAGTAAGTACTTTAACATTTGGCACGCTGCTTGTCTGTTTGAAAATTTGCAAGCCAGTAAATGTCATTTGAACCTTGACAATTTCCATAAATTTGTTAAACATGTTTTCTTCCTCAAAACATAATTTAAGTCTAGATATTTTGCCCATTGAAATCTTACTTTGTGTGTGTGTCTTCTCCTTTTTTCCTGCCTTTGTTTGTTGTAGTTTTACAAGAATTTCAACTGTCTCTTGGAGATAATTTGATGCTCATTTGCTAATAGTAAATTCCATTAATATGCTCGTGTGTGCTTGTACATGTATTATATAATATATATATATATGGTATTCTTTATGCATGTTGCTTTGGTATGTGCTTGTTCAATAAACTATAAAGCACGACCAAACTTGAATCCAGATGTGCATGCTCACACGTCTGGTCTATGCATGCTTCTGTGTGATATTTTTTCTGAAGAAGATAATAATATTACTTCTTTTGACTGATTAGCTTTTTTCTCCTCACCTTTCCCTTAAAATGCTTATATATATATATATATTTGATTCAAAACTTCAGGGTGATCAGTTAATGCACTGCAAAAGACTAGATTACTTCATCAAATTTGATAGCCTCTAACTGTTAGGATTTCACACACACAATTGGCAAATAGAACAGATAAAAGCGCACAAACATTGAAACATGCAAAATGAGATTTAGTGGTTCGGCAAATTGCCTACGTCCACGGGCGAAGAACGACTATCTTTACTTCAAAACTTGATTACACACTCTTTCTCCTCAAACTCAACACATTTTTTCTCTCTACAATTATTTCTCTTTTTCTCTCTCTCTACTAATCTCTCACACCCATCTCTATTTATAGAGTCTTCACACCAATTGCTTGTTGGACAAGGGTTCACAATTTGCCTACCAAGGAATTTCCATATCAATCCTGCTGAACAACTTCCCAATTTGGAATAGGAAACTAATTCACTCACCGGTTGCGCTTTTTCAGAATGGAATTCTCCGCCAGAATTTGAGCCACAACCAACACTAACCTGCTCCCCTTTATATATATACACATTTTATTTGGACTATCATGAGGAAGGAGCTTTGTTGCACACTAGATTGATGTTTTATTTGGACTATCATCGTGTCCGTGTCCTATCCTACCTGTGTCCTGTGTCCGTGCTTCATAGTCTGCCAGTGTGAAAGGAAACTATTTTAGTTTTATTTTTGTGGTGCACTATATGGCTCTAAAGACCCATTGAGAGGAGGTTGAGATGGGATAGATTGCTTTTGAGTTGGAAAATGATACAGCCTTGGGACGGTTTTACAGTGCCTGTTTATCAGGATCGTTTTTTTCTTCTTCTTTTGATGTTAAATTCTTTACCATAAGGTTCCAAAAAAGGGTTTGAAAGAGCTCCTATCAATTAAAGGTCCTCATATTTTTATGCCTCCAAATATGCCACATGAAAAACAAAGCAACACCCTGGGCTTTCTTTAAAGTCATATGGATCTTTTTGCAGGTTCTTCCAGGGAAGATGATTGATTTTATAGATGCTCCTGTCCCTTTCATCGTGAGTCTCTGATCCTTTTTGCTTTATTCTTGTTTGTTTTATAAATTGAGTGTAAGCTATAATAATATCATTTGTAATTTGCAACCTATTTTGCACCATGGTTGGATTGTTTAAGCTTTGCCATTGACTTGGGAGCTTAAGATTCGCTAGCTTGTTCCAGTGACTTTTATAAACTGATTAGGAAATGTCATCTTTTGCATGGATTTCTTTAGTGAGATTTTAATATAATTGGCATTCTTTCTCAAACCTTACAATATCCCTACAGTGACACTTCCCCAAACAGGTTTTATAGTTTGGAGAAGTACATCCTTGTTAACTACTAAGAACTGATATACTCATGGTGATTTCATTTTCGAGAAGACGTCACAAGCCGCTGTTTTTATTTATAACCTTTTGTGTCCATTGTTTTGCAGGTTGGCATACAACATAAACCAGCAGATTTAAAAACAAAAGCTTCTAATCGTGTTCATGTTAATGTGGTCAAAGACCAGGTTTGTTAGTTCTTGCACCCATCTTTGGTTGTTTCCTTATTAATGACCTTATGGTCAAGTATTTGGTGTCAAGCTCATTAGTTGTGCAATTATTTTTGAAATTTGGCCAGCTGGGATAATCATTAATTGCCCCAGTTCTTCTAAATTTGAAATATGTTGTATATTGTTTCAATGAACCTGGATTAGAAGATTTAGCCATTGAATATATTTTTCCCAAGATTTGATGTATGAAGAATATATTTTTGTTAGTTTGTTGATTTGTTCCTCTATTGTCCCATGTTAATAATACTATCTTTCTTAATGTTATCTCATGTAATAATCATCATTGTAATTGCAAGGCTTATTAAGCTGGGTAACATGCATTGCTTGTTAAACTTGTTATTAGGATGAAACGATGATTGGATATAGCTATATAAAAGTGATATTGTGGCATTGATAGAGTTCAATGATTGTGATTGAGAATCCTAAACATTCTTTTGTTCCTGTTTTGCTTCAGGCAACATGCTATTAGCAAAAATGATATTCTATGCTCACTTTGTTTCGTATTTACACTGCATCGTCTAATTCTTGATACATCGATGTAAGGAGCAAGGTTTCTATGGTTTTCAGTTGTTTCTGGTTCTGTAAAAGAAGTTTCTGATTGTGGAATACATATATTTGCTTTAAGAAAGCGTAAACGAAACTAAGATTTTGTCCCGACTGTTTTAAGATGGCTATATGAATCTTTTCTTCAGGATCTGTTGAAGAATTATCGTATATTTTGTGTGTTGACTGCCTTATAGTAAGTCACCTGAAATTTTCAAAACTAATTATATTTTCTTCCACTCTGTTCGCACAGGTGAAAATGTGTTTGTTGCCTGCACTTCCTCGACATAAAGAGCTTATCTCTGAACTGGGGCCAATCCATGCGAGATTGTCATCTGAAAACTCTACTGCTAAAAAGCGTCCTGTATATAGGTGCAACGAAGTGCAGGTACTTATATGCCGCATTTAACACCTAAGCAGTTCCATGTGTGTCTGTTTCCAGTAGTAGAGATTTCATCTTCATGAAAACATGAAAAGTATCATACGTCTCAGAAAAGTTCAACTTCAATTTCTCAGTAGTTCTTTTGTTTTGGATGTGGAGAGAATTAGTTTTCTTTTTCTCTGTTTGATAATTTATGCCACGGCTGATCTCCTCCGGCCACAGCAAATGCCAGCTGAAAACTAGGGTTCCTTTGACGGAGAGGTCGAAGCCGGGCAAGTGGGACTTGCCACGGTAGTTGTCATAGACGATGAATATGCTTATGTAATAGCAGCTGTTGGGGATGGAGACTATGTAGTAGTTCTTCTTGCCGAAGGAGATGGGGAAGAAGCAGTGTGTTAGGAGTGAAAGAGTTTACGACAAGTTGAAAATCAATTTTGTTTTGGGCAAGCAAAATCAATTGATTGTATAACAATAATTTAAAATATACCATCTTCCATATATACATAGGAATGGAATTAACGGGTATAATTAATATCAATAGGGTATTTAGGTCTTTTTATCTTATTATTTAGGGTAAAATAAGTCTTTTGACAAAGTCAAAGGGTATGCAAGTCATTTTACATGGTGTTGGAGATCTAACGCCATGTGGAGGTAACAGCAGGGGGTGTTTGTGTAAGACGGAGCAAACGTGAACCAGTCGCCAAAATTTGCATCTAGCTAATATAAGGGGCAAACCTCAAGGGTGTCGTTGTAATTAACCTTTATTTTATTTAAATTGGGGGGAAAGAATATTACTTTCGTTAGAGAAGTTTCAATCTTCTAGCAGCCAAGCATTAAAAAGCAATTTCGTAATTCCCTGCAGCCTTGTCCTCAGATAAACGGAGCTTTCTAGAGTGGTTTTCCTCACTTTGATGTCTGTGTTGTGCTCTCTTTTAGTGTATTGCATCCCAACCTTCATATATGAATTTTAATTTTTACTCATCCTTTACTCAGGCAATAACATATGTCATAATTAAGCATGCAGGCTGAAGCTGCTGCACAATTTTTGACTGTCATGAGGCACTACCTGGAGTCACTTTGTTCAGATCTGAGGTCTCATACAATCACTAGCGTACAATCAAACAATGACAGGGTTAGATGAACTAGGTCACATTTTCTCTTTTCAAATGCTCTAGGATCCAAAAATTCTGGACGCTGGAGATTGTTTTACTAATTACTTGTATTTGCAGGTTTCTTTACTTTTTAAGGATAGCTTTATTGATTCCTTTCCTAGGAAAGACCGGCCATTTATTAAGGTAATTTACATTATTTAATTTTATTTCTTTAAAGCTTTGATAAATAGTTATCCTCATAATCTTTATTTGTTATATATCAACTTCACCTTTGATGTTTGGACTAATATTAGTTGATGCTAAATCTTTTTTATTACCAAAATGACCTTATCGGCCTTCACAATGTAAATCAATAATGGTTTCTCCCAAAAAGCATTGTACCATGCATTGAGAGACACCCTTGAATTGAAATTCTTACAAGTGATGTGCAATTGTAAAGATGGTGAATCAATCCATCTGATTTCTTACATGCTCCACCTCTCTGTCCTTATGGCAAAGACTCTTTGGAATGATTATTTTGAGTTTCCGGTGGCCTCGACTAATGCTAGTATTATCATATAAATTGCGTTTGGGGGGATGGGAAGGAGTAAAAAAACTTAAGGTCTTTAGAAGTGTGCTCTCCTTGCTTATTTAGATGGAGAGAATTGCTTGTACAAATATTTGACTCTTGTAACTTGCCTTGAGGATGTTATGGAGTCATCACTACCCCTTGATTTTGGGTTCTTATTTTTGTTTTGGGGATGATTTTATCATATAGTTGGTTTTTCTTCAAGTGGTTGGACGTCTTGTTTACCTTTGCACTTCATCATTCATGCTTGTAAATGGGGTGAGATGGGTAGCCCAGTTGGCAGAGGCACTCCCCCAAGTCATGTGGGACCCAGGTTTGACTCACACCCCATCCTCCCCACTCCTTGCCAGGTTAAAAAAAAAAAAAAAAATCATGTTTACTTATAAAAAAAATTTAAAAAAAAAAAAAAAAATCATGTTTGTTAATAGTGTATATTTATTGTAAAAAATAAATAAATGCTAAAACAGTACTTCTCAGTGCTATGATTTTGTTAACAGCATTACTTCAAAGTCATAAGGAGCATTGAATCTATGATCACAATTGGAGAGTCCATTTTGGGGAACTGCTGAGAAATCTTAAAATCTTGTTACCTTTAATTACTATTTGTGTTATGGTTCTTTTGTAGGGCTTACTTTAGCTAATTTTTAAATGAAGAAATGATTTAGCTTGTGTATTCGGATCTTTAAGAATACTATATCGGACTCTTTTAACTGTTCCAGAAAAAGGAACGTGGAAAAAATTATTGAAAGGCAAGTTCAATCTAAAGAATCATGAGTGGAGTAGAGTCGATAAATTTTAGTGCATCAAGATGTGTGTGACATGTACTAATTTCATGTTGTCAAGCGATAAAATTTACTCTTTTTTTCACTTATCAAAAAAAAAAATTTACTCTTTTTTTCAGGCTAATCCATAATTTATTTCAATTATGACACTACATGATGTAAGTGGGATTAGTTAGATAGTTGGTACAGATTCTTTATCTATTTGCTACTGCGGTGTTTTGTTATTTAAAATTTATAAGATGCCAACATGGCATCACTTTTTTGTCTCCTTTTTTCGTATAGGATTTTATTTCTATTGACAATGCACAATTTCTTTGGTGAATGCATGTTGTTGCAATGCTTTCTCTTATATGTCAAATACACGCATATTTGATAATTCAAGTTATTTTATAATTGTGAATAAAACCCTTTCATCTTTTCCTTTTATAACATTATTTCTTCAAAAGGAGGGCCATGTTAAACACCCTGTTACATAAGAATACTATTTTGCGGTATAAAATAAATTAAAAGAAAAATATAAAACAAAAAATGAATATTTAGATATAAATCCTAATGTAATAGGGTTTGGAGATCTGTTAAATGTGACATCTAACACATGCTTACATTTATATATGTACACAAGTCCTTTTAGTAATTTTGCAGAATAAAACTGTTGGGAAAAGGCTTTGTTGAGTTGAGTTCTAGAAGAAAGCTTGCTTCTCTAACGGTTTCTTCTTGAAAAATAAAAAACTAAACAAAAAGCCGATTACATGATGATCTTTGATGATAAAATAATTTCAATGCATTATGTCTTGGCTTGGCTTAGAGAGCTCAAATGAGAGAGACAAAAATGTGAAGGAGCAACATCTGGTCAAGGAGATAGAAGAAATGAGACAGAAGTAGGCGAATAAAGAATCAATGTGTCTCACCTTTTCCTTTTTTTTTTTTTTTTTTTTTTCTTTCTTTCTATTGCTCGTTGCTTCATTAGTTGATAATAGTTCAAAACGTTGTCTCATGTATTAATTTGAATTTTACATGATACCAACAAAGTAATACTGACATATTGCAGTTCACCATATCATAGAAGTTCAATCACTTTTCTAGTGCTACCTTGGTTCTTCCTTGCCTTTATGGGGACTTGAACGGTTGAACCCGTGACTTCTACTTGGAAGGTGAGGAAATACCACTAGGTTATAGCCCCTTGGTCACTAACTTGAGTGTAAATGTGGTCTAAGATTAAATTTTTATGCTAGCAATACATTCGAGGGTCTGATGAATATTTAGGCACAAGAATTAAATCTTAAATCTTAATGGTGGAGATACTAGTGAGTAGCATCTACAATTGAGGCATTAGTTGCTGCTGACTTTGGGTTTTATTTGATTGAAATTACTCAGATCAACTGATATTTGCAATATCTGTCCTACATTGGCAAATGTGTTGGCCCTGACATTCATTTACCCAACTTTTTACTGTAAAATGTTGAACCTTTTTTGGATACACTAAGCATGCACCAGATGAAATTGAAGATTTTGTAATGAACTGAAGTTCTGTTTTTCTTGTTTGTCAAAGTTTGCTGTTACAATGTTTTCATGGAAAGTGCGCTGCTTTTTGCAGCTGTTTGTTGACACGCAGCTGTTCAGTGTTCTGTCAGACTCTCGTCTATCGAGCTATGAGACTGAGTGTTGATTTAAACATGCTGCGAGTTCATTATGCGGTAAAACTCCAAGACGCAAAGCAAGAAAGTTACCAGAGCAGAAACTAGGTAGCGAAGATGAAGGATATGGCTGCTACCATTGGGGCTGGTAATGGCCTTGTACTAATTTTGTAGATTTAGATGCTTTTGGGGGATTAATACGGGCTTTATGCAGCACGAAAAGTTGAAAAGATGATTCTTGTAGCATACATATGATATAAAATGATAACGGTAATCAATTCACAACGATAATCAATCTGTTGTACTGCCTAATGCAAAAGATTCGTCATCCCAATCTTTTAGTGGGAATGATGCTACTTATTAATGATGAGCCTCATTTCAAACCTTTGTCAATGTGAATAACTCTCTCAATATGGCAAGCGATTCTTTCTTTTTTATGGAAGTATTTTTATCTTTGCTTTTGTTGACAGATGCATATCATCATATAATTGGTGCCAAAACATGGCTTGCATGTTGTTTCATAGTGTTATTTCGTACTGGTTGATACAATCATTTGAATAATCCATGCATATCTAAAAATTGTATCGACTGGCACGGAGCAACAAAATTTAGAAGCAGTATGGTAAAAATGGATGCAATTCCAGGATTTTCACCCATGGAACTGATCCGATGGCGGAGATGGATATAGAATATGTTTTTGAAACCATTCGAGTCAAATACGAACATGATATTTTGGTGAACAGAATTGATCATCTGGTGAAGGGAGAGAGTGGTATCAGAGAATTATTTTATGTGGCATTAAGGTAGGCTAAAATGAGAGAGCCGTTTCAATGACAAATATTAAGTAGCACCCTTGTATGGAAATAGAAACAATTTTGTCACACATGGGGGAAACAGGAAAAAAAATATAAAAATAAAAAAATTTAAAATCCTGGAAATGAGTGGTGGTATATCTTTTGGTAGAACTTTTGTTATTACCGTTGTTTTTTTATTTTTATTTTTATTCTCTCTTTGTACAACATATGCACATGGGTGAGTGATGGTACATCTTTTAATTTCTGTACTGTGACGAGGTTCAATGAAGCAAGCACAACTACAAATGGAAACATCTATCACTTGGTATATTGATAATGCAATGCCATTTTGAGATATTTTCTGTATAGCTCTGGCTCACATAAACGACAAAAGAAAGAAATTTTCTGCTCAAATCGTTTAAAATGACTCTTGGACCTGAAGCATCTCTGTACGACTTTGGAATTAATGACATCATGCTGATTGTTAGTGGACACCATTTTTTATCTTCATATTCTTTTTAAGATGCAATTTTGTTAAATTTATCACTTCTTTCTACTTTTTCATGTTTCTTTTTCCATTTTCTACCCTCATTTTCCCTCAACATTTACGATTTCTCTACATTAATTCCATATAAATAGAGTTAACCACAAGAATTCTCTACATTCATATATATGTCAAATTAAAAGGTTATTCTGTTTTCAGATACGTTCTTTATCTGCTTTTAAAACCCATTTCCATATAAAATGAGAAGACGCAAGCTACGCAATCTTGTTAGAAGACAAGTTATGAGAACTGGGAAGGAAAAGCAATTTTGTTCAATAATAATAATAAATAAATAAAGAGCCAAGATTAACATTACTTGTGATACCAGCACATTGTTTTCTGAACACAGCTACTGCATAAAGAATTTTACAATGCCTCAAGCATGGTTCTATCAACTAAGTGACAGGTGAGACATCTCCAAGATCCAGCTGTACAAAAGGGGAAATAATTGGGAACCAGCCAATATAGAAAGAAGCATAATGAAGAAATTATTGTAGTTATTTTGTTTTTGAGGATTGGACAAGTACCATAAAATCGTAATGCCGAAAAATAAAAGTTTCAACATATTCTGATTATTTCTCTTCATCCTCGGAATCAGACTTCGCAAAAAGTGGTTCAGGCTGTGTCTCAGCATATGCTGGAGCAATGAATTTAGGGTCTTTTGCTGCAACATCAGCATATTTCAGTATAGCTTCTCTTGGATCTTCCTCCATCCATGTTTCCTTAATCAAGCCCCCTTGCTGCAAATTGCACTCATAATGTAAGTCTCTGCCACTAGCTTTATCTTTGCAGAATGGAATGGAGAAATAACGGAGACATGCATATTACCTTAAGAAGGTATTGAGTCAGCAAGCTTCCCTTTGTTGTACCGACTCTTCCACCGTGGCCTGGTCCTGTAATGGGAAGTTCAGGCTTATGAGACTTCATTGGGTCTTTCAATATTTTCTCCCGCTGACGCTTACGGCTTGGCTGATCTCTGAATAAGGGTAGTGCATGGGGGTTGTGGATCACTGGCTGTGCTACAAAATCATCAACAGACTTCTTTCTCGGTGCACGTGCAACACAAACAAGAGCTCCTCTATCACTCTGGGATGGATCATACAGTATGTGAGTTCCTCCTTGGCTTTTATCCCCAGCTGTGACTAAGATCTGTATAAACAAACAGAGTAATTCAAACTCGTATTCCCTGCCTGCACATAATTTGTGATGTATGCATCTATAGATAAGAAAGAATGGGAGATAAGGGAAGCTAAGGACTATCATTCAATATGTGCAAATGTTATACCCACCAAAAAAATATCTTGGAGACAAGGGAATAAAAAACAATGAATTTCAAACTAAATTGGAAGTTGACACTCTTTCTCTTGGCACAAATACGTAGAGTAATGTTCAAAAAACAAACAAGAATTTCATCTCATGTTACCTGGTTCAGCTTTGGGTGCCAAGCACACTGCACTACACTACAAGTTGGCGATATTCCAACTCTTGACACAAGTTCAAGTTTTGTTCGATCATAAAAGCATAGCAAACCACCAATTGTGCTATCCCTTTCAACAGATGTTCCGGTCAAGAAGAGTTGCTCATCAGGACTAAATGCAATATTTGTTTGAGCATAATGATTATGAAGATCATCAAACACCCGAAGAGGATCTTTCATTTGGCGCAAATCCCAAACCTAGCACACATTTCATATTAGTGTGAGGCGAAAGGTGTGGCAGTAAATGACACAACATTTCAAAGTAGAAAGTGCACAACACGGTCCTCTGAGCTGCCTTATTACCTTTAGTGAACCATCAAAGCTTCTTGACAGTAGAATTCGCCCATCACTAGAGAACTTAAGTCCAGTGATATCGTCCGAGTGACCATTTTGAACATGTACGTCTGGCCTACTTCCCCATCCAGGTTTAAGACTCCATATCTGTTAAGATAAAAGACAGCAACAAGCAAGTTATAGAAAAGAAGGCAAGTACAAGTAGGATGATGTTAAAAAAAAAAAAGGGCACTAAATTTCAGACCAGCCAGGAAAAAAAAAAAAAACCCACTAATTTTCCCCCATGGTTTCTAGACAATAAATGCCGTAGAAATACCAAGAGATTGAAAGAAGTACCTGTATGGACCCATCTCCTATACCACCTGCAATGCGTTTTCCCTCACGGTCCCAAGCACATGTAGTGACAGGAGTTCTTCCAGGCCTTGCAAGTTTTGGTTTGATAACCTATCAACAGAATGATTATACCAATGTAACCAATCAGCTAAATGTAATAACTTTCCACTATTCAAGACTTCAACAATCTCAATATTCATGCTACAGTGTGTACCCACATGTAGAATCATCCCAAATCCCAACTCATATTCTTGAATATCAAATGGGCATTGAAATAAAATTAAGCAACAAAAAATCCAGTAGATTGTAAGTGTACAACTCTCTCATCAATGTACCATCAATTCTTCAAAGTGTTTTCTTGAAATCCATTCAGTTTTAGGAATTACTGAGACACAAACTACTTGGAGTATGTCATAAAGTTCATCTATGTATAGTCATATATATAGGGAAAGCTAACCCCTACAATAATTGGAGTTGGTTAGCTCTCTCCCCATTTTTGAAGGTCCATAAATGCAGCCCATGGAACAAAGAGAGAGAGAGAGATGCCAAGCAAAGAAAGAAGGATTTGGGGTTGTAGGCAAATATAGATGAGGGCATGGCCATGGTGTGATAGTGGAGAGAGTTGTAATGTACAAAGTTTTTAAAAAAAGTAGTGTAAACTATTTATCAAAAAAAAAAAGTAGTGTAAATTGTAAGAGGCCATTATCCAACTTTAGTCCCTAATACGGGTTGTTGGGAGGGATAGATTTTATTCCAAATCCAACCTTTGGCATTATCTACATTTTCGCACAATAAATTGAAACTAAAAATCACGTTTTCCTTGTTGGCCAAACATGTTTTACACATGCGCTTTCCATTGATGTCCCAACAATTTCATTGAAGGAACCAATCTAAAATATTTTTTAAAATTTTGAAATAACCTTTATATCTGCAGCAGTCTGCAGTCTTTTCTAAAACAAAATGAAAGACGAAGAAAAACATAATCACGTAATTTGTCAGTTTTTTCAAGAAGTTAAACGGAAAATGAATGGTATTATACAACTCTTGACACTGCAAAAATGTCCAGTGAATATAAAAATACAGACCTGCTTTTGACTTTTAAAGTCATTAACGTCCCATATACGTAGTGAACCATCTTCCGATGATGTCAAAATTGTCTCCTTTGTTTTTGGGTGCCACTCCCCACAAGTCAATCCAGATATGTGGCCCTTGGTATTCTTGAGGTCACGGATATACATATCCCCCTTGACGAACTCACCCAGAGTAAGTCCATCACGATCATATATCTAAAATAAATGCAAAGACAAAATTTTCAACAAATGCTTGCCTGCGAGCAAATAAAAACACTAACATGGTAAGTATCTAAAAGTACCTTAGCTTGAGCAGAACCAGTCACACACAGAAATCTGTCCGAGGTAGGACTCCAACTGAGAGTGCGAACTTGGTGCCCTTCAGAAGGTTCAAGCTGTCTAAAGGATTGCAATCGAGCATTCATCCCTTGGAAATCATACATGCGAACTGTGTAGTCATAACTACCAGAAAGGACTCTAGATCCCGAATGATCAACAGCAAGAGCAGAAACAACCTGCACATCACCAGAGAAATACATTTCCAATATTATACCATAAACCATAAGCTTCACAGCCTAAAGTCTAAGCAAAGTGTTCTAATTGGTCTCCATCACCGATGTTGCTTTCTCCTTTCCAAACTTTTCTTCTCACCTGGCAACTCTTTGTAGATTTCAAAATTCTGTCATGAATGTCTACCATGTTGTTTCAGAGTATATATACACAATTATTTCTTTTTAAGAGCAACTCTTTGTAGATTTCAACAGTCTGTCATGAATGTCTACCGTACTGTTTCAGAGTATATATACACAATTGTGTCTTTTTAAGAATGTAATGCGCAAGTATGTACAAGCCACAGTCAACTTCTTCCAAGTTGTCCGATTTCTCCAACATAATTATTAGCAACCAAAATTTTCATCATTGGATAATTATTTGCATTATCCAGTTTTCAATTTCATCATTTTGAGATTGGATAAAGTCTCAGCACTATATCATTATATCTATATTTAAGAACATATTGAAAAGAAACAATTTGCACTCCCATCTAAAAAAGAAAAAGAAAAAAGACACTGGAATGATGCATCTAATAGTTTTGTAATGTAATTATAGCTTCAATAAGTAAATCGGAAAGAATAAAAAGACACTGATTACTGAAACTAAGTAGTTAAAATGATACCTTGGTGTGACCCTTCAAGACAATCTCATTACTGAGAGGTATCCTATACACGTTCTCTTCCCCAGCATCAGAATCCTCTTCCGCATCTGAGTCATCCAATCTCGAATCCAGTGGAGGGCGAAGTGGTCCAATCATCTCGCCGTCGTCCTCTTCATCAACAGCTGCTGGCCGAGGCGGCCCAATCATCTCGCCGTCGTCATCTTCATCAACGGCTGCTGGCCGAGGCGGTCCAATCATCTGATCCTCATCATCAGAAGCAGGAGGCGGCGGACGAGGCGGACCAATTATCACATCTTCGTCCTCTCCACCGTTTACCGAATCCAAAGCAAATGAAGGTCGAGGCGGTCCAATCACAGCATCGCTTGCAAGATTAGGGTTAGGGTTAGGGTTTTTGAGGGAGTCCAACCAGGATTTGGAAGTGGAAGAGAGAGAAGGAAAATCTTTATTAATGTCAGAGAGAGATTGAGAAGATGAGGGGAGGTTTTTTTCATTGTTGGCGGTGGCGGTGGCGGTGGCGGTGGTGGGGCGACGAGTGGCTTTGTGAATGGATTCGATAGAGGTTTGGGGCTTCGATTGCTTACCGAAAGCTAAAGGGAAATGACCTCTCATACCATCGTACATCTCTGCTTCGTCCTCCTCCATTTCTGTTGAATCTGTTCTTGATCTTGAATTCTTAACTTTGATATTCAATTCTTGATAATGAAGTCTTGATTTTGATCTGATAACAATTTATAGTCTTCGGCTTCGTCTCTGCCGCCATAGAAAGCTTTCTGGTCTTTTAATCAAAGGGATGGGTGCATGAGCTCTGAACGGCCCAGGTTCGTAAAACCTAACCCGCTTGTGCTGTCTTTATTTTGTATGATATTGGGCCTGATTACTTACCAAAAATGATTGGGCCCAATCACTAGTTAGGCCTGAATAAATTTAATTCAACCTCCCCACAGAGCAAGGAGCTTTGGAAATATTCAGGACTCTCTTGTATGTTAGTGGGCGAGTCTGATCTTGTTTTATGGGCCTGATCAAACTTGTTGCTTGTCCATTTAAAACCTAATACTAGTATTTAACATTAGTACGTATATTAGCAGTTGCAGGTTAATTTTGTACTCTAATTTAATTTTATTTTTTTAATATTGCTACTATAGTACTATGGCTGGGAATGAACAATATTGATGTTCTTTTTTAATTTGGTTTTTTATTTATCTTGATAGGTCTAAAAGCGAAGCTTAGCTCGAATTTAAGTTGAGTTTGCTCACCTTAGCCATCAAAGATAGACTCTTAAAATCTTACTGTATATAACTGGGAAGGTTCGAGCAGGACATTGTTGACTTATTTCAACCTTATTTTGAATCTTGACGTTGATTGATTTAAAAAGTATAAATGTCCATGAATCCTAGCAACTCTTGCTTATATTGTTTATACATGACTTTTATATTATTACGACCAATTTATAATAAATAATAAAAGATAAGAGGGAAAGAGTGCAACTAAAAATAACATAAGATGAAATTATTAAAAATAAAAAAGTTAAATACAGCAGCCGGAAAGGTGTGCAATAAAAATCGGAGATAGAATTAATGTGACGGACTCTATTTATAGTCCATTAACCGTCCAACCTTTAAACAAGATCCTAAATAGATTGGTTTTGCAAGGTTAAGATTAGCCCGGCTTCAACCGTTTGTGATGATGCTAGTGGTAAAACAACAGGTTATAAGAAATAGTGTCATCAAAAAAATGATTGCATTTGATATGCAACAGTTGTAAGCATGGTTCGCAATATCGGTTGCAGTCGCGGTGTAATGGACTCAGACAAAGTTAGTGTAAATTGGTCAATACGAGTCGCGTATCGAATTTGAAAAAAAGTAAGTCGCGTATCAAACGATAATGCAAACCATGGTTGTAAGCAATATAATGTAGAAGAAAAGTGTATGAAATTATAAACAACATTCTTGGGAGCACTTCCTAAAAAAAAAAAAAAGATAAAATCAACTAAAATGATTTGATCATATAAAGTCAAGGACACAAATTGTATAGTTTCTAACAGCCTTCTGGTTTAGTTTTTTTATAATAGTTTTATAATCTTAAAGAACTGAAAATTAGACTATTTTCATAAAACAATCTTTTATAGATAAGAGACCTTTATAATTTTTAAGAACTGTTTTTAAAAATCTGAATCAAACATCTCTTACAAGTTTCCACCATGTTCTATAAGAAAAGGACACTGAAAATTGTTCTTGGTATAATCTTATGATGTTCTTAAATATCCGTTGCAGCATATCAAGGCCTTTACTTGTGAAAGAATCATTTTTTTTCATTGAAAATATATACTTTGCTTCCTAAACTCTAAAAATAAAAATATTTACATCTAAACAAACAGAAAAACCTGAGAAACCCCGAAAAAAAAAAAAAGAAAAAAAAAAGAAAAAAAAAGGAGGTAAATGGGCAATTCTTAATCTCTAGTAGTGGTAGTAGTGGTATGTTTCACCTCCCAATTAGGGGGCTTGTGAAAGGGGTCAAGATGTAGTTTGTCACTGTTATTTTTGAAGCAACAAAATGAATTAAATAAAGAGAGGGGACGATATTCTATGTTGGAAGTGGTCATGTCTAGGGATTGAAATGTCATGGAATACAAATCCATCTTTTTGGCATGCATTTCACCTACCAACATATCAAACACATTTTTTTTTTTTGAATGTGTTTGGATGATGGGGAATTGATTCAAATTCCTCATCAACATTGTTCAAAGTGAGTAGCAGTGAATTATCCTTTGGATATATACCAATTGGCAGCTCCTATTTCCATTTATATGGCAATAATAGAGGGGACATATTTCACTAGAGATATTATACTCAAAATTGCATATGTTTCAAGAATCACAGATATACCATTCAACAACAAAGAGAGGGAAGTCTTTATGATAGAGTGGTATACCTCATCAAGATTGTTCAAAGTGAGTAGTACTGGATTATCCTTTGGATATATACCAATTGCCAGCTCCCATTTTCATTTTTATGGCAATAATGGAGGGGTTAGATTTCACTGCTATGCTCGGCTACATAGAATTGGAGTTTTGGAATTAAAATTGGTGGAATTGGAAAGAAATTTGATTCAAAGTTTGTAATTTCACCAATTATAATTCCAAAACTCTAATTTTATGCGATCTAAAATAGTCTAAAAATATTCAAAACAGCATATGTTTCGAGAATCATCCACATAAAACATTCAACAACATAAAAGGAGAAGTTATAAAGTGGTATACCTTTTATCCTAATATGTCTTTTCATATAGGGGAAGAGACTGAATCTTTTATGCAAAATTATATTTTTTTATTTTTGGAGAATTTAAGAAGAGAGAAATAATTAGGGTATGTTTTCTTGTTTATTCGGACCATGGTATATTTATCCAAACTGAACTCTCAGAAAGCACATTTCTTCCAAATTGATTGATTCAAGCGCATGAGAATGCAATGATGGGCGTGTATCTTGCAAATTGCTAATATTCTCAGCAAAAGTATATTATAATTACAAACATGAGATAATTTTTTAAACGCAGTACTAAACAATGATTATACATCCACACAAAAATACAGTTCAAATGAATAGCATGTATACTCAATTTATTTGGTTATGATTAAGATGAAGTGTTATATATTGGTTAAACACTCTTTTATGACATAATATATTTTAAAGTTGCGATGATGGATGACCATGAACCTATCAGATTTCTACAATTAAATGTTATACAGATAGGGTGAGGGCTCTTACATCTCAAGCATAAGACCTTTCCCTCCATCTCATTTATAATTAATTAAATTTTGATTCCAATATATATATATATATATTGGTAATATGGGTGTTATACTACTGAAGTTTAGCAAAGTGAAATATTCTCGTCTTTAAAAACTAAAGGTTGAGGTCCGAATCTCCATGAAGCATAATGGGTGAGTGTGCATAATTTAGAGTTATCTACTTACAAAGAAATATGGTACTAAATGCAACTCACTATTCGTGTATCAAACATAAACTCAAATAAAATCACTAAAATTTATGTTAAAAGGTGAAAATTTAATATGAATATATGAAAAGTTGTTTTTGTTTTTTATAAGTAAAAGTTACTAAAGATGATATTAGAATTTTGGTTGTCCTTAAGTATCATTATAAAGTTTTTATTAGGTGCACTACAAACTTTAAGTGCCTCCTTTGACGGACGATACTAGTTGAGTGTTGAAGTACAATTACTCATTTTGGAAGTGAATGATATTTTCTGCTTCACCATAAGTAAGGGACTTATTAAATACAATTAAAGTCATGTAGGCTCCATTTCATCTTCATCTTCATCTTCATCTTCATCATCTTCTTTTTTTTTTTTGTTTTTTTTTGTATTTTGCTTGAATTTATATTTTATTATTTTCACAAGTTGGTTGAGTGTGATGTGTAAAGATGAATTGTCTAAATTAATTTGATCAGAGAGTTGATTTTATTTAAGCTTATCATCTGTGTCACTTTGCACATGGCATGTGCTGGTTACTTTCATTATTTTTCTATATGCCAAGTAAAAGTGGAACATCCAAAGCACAATTCATATGGTTCTAAAAAGGTCACATTTCATTGAATTGAATGTGCTTCAAAATATACTTACCTTTTTCACAAATTGCAACAATCATCCCATTTGTTTTTCACAAATTGCAACAATCATCCCATTTGTTGCTTCGTATTTCTGCCCAAAATTCTTCCAATATGTTAAAAGGGTGGGGGAAAGAATGTAGAACAGAAGCGAATATGCCAGAAAAATAAAAATAAATCAAAAAGTAGCTATATACGTGAGATATGGTGATTACAGAACCAAAAAAAATAAAATAAGATAAAATAATTAAAAAAACTAATATTTTTCATTTTTCAAGAGAAGTTAAGGAATTTATGAGACCCAGGCCAAGTGACTTACCACCACTTGAATCAACTTGGGGTTATTATTCTTATATGGTTTCTTGAAATATATCGTCAACAACCAACAATATGATTTTTATTTTTTATTTTTTATTTTTTTATATTATATCATGTTTTTATTAAGTCATTCTTAAAAAATAATAATAATAATAAATATTGGGAGATGACTACCAAATTGTGTTTTCCACCTTTAAGCCAAATAAGTTTGTGTATTTATTTGCAACCTGTCTTTCCTTTTAAAATGATTTGGAGGTATTGTTGGTGTATTCATGCATGGCATTGAAGGGACATCCAAATACACAAATTTTGAAACCGTTGCTAATAACCCTATACAACAATATCAACTTTAATGATATCGTTCATTTTTCATTCAGTTCACACGATCCAGAGGTTACTATACAAAGATTGAATACAACTTGTAGCATTTGATATCTATCATATCTTCATATGCTACCAATACAGAACTACTTTATTGACTACCATTCAATGTTGGCCGGTCCAACTACCCAATCTATTGGGAGATAAATTTAGAAAATATTTTTAAGCATTTTCATCTAAAATGATATGCAAAATATAAAAAAGTGAAATTTCTTTAAATTTTTCGGCCAAAAATTTTGGTTGAAATCCTAATCAGAATAACATTACTCTAACATTCACAGTAAACAAAAAAAAAAAAAATAAATAAATAAATTTAACATTTAATATTATTTTATATGTACAAAGTGATTGCTTTCGATTCCAATATGCATATTTAGGTATGTGTGACATGAGTTTTTATTATTTTTAATTGTACTTTTAAAGTTTAAAATTAATTAACTACTAACACTGCTCAATGTAGGCAATTCTAACCTTGCTCAACTTTTTATTACACCTTCGGATTAAAGTTTTACATTGATAAGTTGTTAGATGAAATTAAGTTGAATAAATGTGTACTATCATCTTAAACCCCTACCTACTTTATTGTGATAATGATGCAACTGGCACCTACCATATATGCCTTAGTTTTCAACAAAGTAGTAATAATAGTTCATTACCGAAGGCTTTGAATTCTTACAGGTGAATATTTTTAAAAAGGTCACGAGCAATAAACAGTTGTGATATGTAAATAGGTACACGTTCTTATTTATAATATTTATTTTGGTGGGAATAAGCGCACGTTGTTGTTAGTAGAACTAAAAACTAAAGTAGCCTTATGTTACAAGGAGTTATTTGACCTATATTGAATCCGGGTGAAAAAGTGATTGAATATAAACTAAGTTACATAAAGCGGGAACGAAAGTAAGAGCAAATTCTAGAGTGGAATCGCAAAAGCAACAAAATTAAGTAACAGATAGTGATAATGCGAGTGAAAGCGTGAGAGCAATACTCGTTGAGGGAAATTGTGCGACTTAGGGTATAAATAGGTGGGTATATATGTAGTTTAAATTTTTGAATAAATGGGCAAGTGCCTACCCGTTATAATTGGTATCAAGTCAAATCTAGTCCTTAATCTAGTGTCACGTCAACCGTCCTAGTGAGCCACCCTGAGTAGGCAGAGTGGCCCGACTATAATGAAGGCGTTGCAAGTTCGGGTGGAAGAGAATGTTATAAGGAGATATTTGTCTCACATCGGATTCAGATGGGAAAGTAATTAGGTATAAATAGGTGAGTACAAGTGCCCACCCGTTACACTTTATGTATTTTTTTAAAAAAAAAAAACAAAATAAATATAAAATGACCAAAGTATCCTAACCAAAAGAGAGAGAGATTATATTTATATAAAAAATGGTATAATTGGCGACGAGACATACCTATTGGTGCTTTCTCGTAGACTCCTCTTGGAATTTGATTCTGAGATTGCTGTATTCCTTTCAGCGAGATCGAATGACGAGAAGGAGGACAAAAAACATGATAAGGAAGATGACTTCCTTTTGAAGGGCGAAATTTAAAAAATTTATTATTTAAAATAGACATGTATAATGCGAAAGATATATGTATATAGTGTTAGCTACCGCTTAACATTGACTCCTGACATCATCCCTTAAGACTTTAAAGGTAGAAAATAAAAACTTTTCCGACAGCAACTTTGTTCCGCTCAAAGTCACTACATACTTAATTTCATTCACAAATCAAAGCATACACACCCGTTAGCCGATTATTTTGACCTATGATGTTGTGATTCATTGGACCATATACTCTCAAATTATATAAATATTTTTATTACTCGTATTCTAAAGAGGGGGAGCATTATACAGTAAAATTTTCATATAGTTTGTAAATATAAGAGGTAAATTTGTAAAATTCATATATTTTCATTACATCATAAAAAAATGTAAGCAATTCTGATGTTTATCAATTTATGAATGAAAAATCCAACCTAATGGACTTTACCTGTACTTTTTATTTGAGCCAAGACAGAACTAATAATGATAAGCAAACAACAACCAGATAACAAATAATAATCAGATAATGTTTTTTATTTTCGAAACTAGAAATAAAAATGAGTGACCACCACTTCTTTTATGACATTCCTCATGGCAAAGATGCTGTCCAAGAATATACATTCTTCTGCATGCATGTGACAATAAAACCACTGTTTTGTGATGCCATTGCATTATATATTTGTTTATGTATATTATATTATATTGTATTATATTATATATATGTCCAATATCAGATGCATGGAGCACCATTGGAAATGAAAGAGTCGGCTCCCTCTTCCTAACATTGTTGTTGGTTCAAATCTCATTTGTACAAGAATGTAGTAATAATAATAAAAATAAAATTTACTATATATATATATATATATATATATATATATATTTTTTTTTTTGTAGGATTAATGCTTTTGAAAATAAATAATTGTAAGATTAAGAAATGTGTTCAGACTTGGGATAAAGAAAATCAATTTGACATGTCTTGCATGGTTATTACTACCCAAATTTGCAAATCATAATTGTTGCCTTCATAATAAAATGGCTTGCTAATTTTTTAACCAAATTTTCTATTTTTTTTAATCATGTTATGGTTACTTTTAGTTTATAGTGCATTGATTTTTCATAGAATAAGTAGCGTATTACTTGGCAATCAATGCAATCGAAATTAAAGCACGACTACACATCGATTTAGTGTTATATAACTACAAAACTAAAATAGGAATAAATTTATATAGTCTTGTCAAGTAAGAGTCGGTAAGACCCACGCAAACTTAAATTACTAGAAATAAAATAAAATAAACTAACCCCACAATGATGTAACAGACTTGAACCTTCAACTTTTAAATGTACAATAATACTGCAATACTCACCACTAAGCTAATATAAAAAAAAATCCCAGTCTAATAGATTTATTAACAAAATTTATACTTTAACTACAAAAAAGAAATCTTGAGACGACTCTCTGGACTGGAAACTTCTACCTTCTGATTAGGTATGTGATGAGGCAGACAAATCACAGTCATTTGTATCATATCCTGTCAATAAAATTAAAAAACAGTTTATATTAAATGATGGACCAATTTCATTATATGATAAATGCAAAATAAATTTTCATAAACTAAACAAACCAATAACGTGACGTATCAAGCACAACCCATATCTCATCCTCCCTTCAATCTCTAATATCTTATCCTCCCTTCTATATTGAATGAAGAGGAGATGCACAGAAAATGAAAGTTTGGCAATTTTGTTTACTCTTTACAAAAAGCAGAAACAGCCAAAAGTGATAAAAACCAACTTTTTGTTATAAATTTACAAAGTGCAGCCCATGAGATCTTGATCATTCTCTCTCTCTCTCACACACACGCAGCCCTTTTCCACTATACGTGTTCTGATGAAGGAAAATAAAAACAACTAAGGATCTGGCATCCCTATCTGTATCATAATTGGAAAAAAGCTGTTTTATATTTTCACTTCAATAAAAAGGGACGAATATGAATTATGACAATTACAGCAATATGAGCAAGTACAGATAAAATGTCGGACTCTAGATAGTCCAAATCTAAACGAGAAATAACCATTTTGTGATTGATCCCGACTGAATTACCTAATATTTTTACTTTTGTCATTTATGCATTTTATTAAAGATAAATTATACTCACTTCTCTTAAAGTTTGAATAAATAAGACAAATAATACACTGCAGCACTAGTAGAAATTAGTAGACAGTTTAGTATTTATTACTTTGATTTTTTCTTAAATTTGTTTTTTTTTCTATTTGTAAGAATGTGATTTTGAAAGTGAAAAATCAATAATACCTTATATTACAATAATATAATATATTACATCTTAAAAAATAAAAATAAAATTATCATTTTATAAAATTTAATAACGGGTGTTATGGAATGGACAAGATCCTCTCCAGTGTAAGAGAGGTCTAGCGCAGTATTTAGTAATTGAAATTGAATTAATAAATAAAATACACTAGTAATGAAATAATCTCAATCATTAGATATTTTGCTAGACCTCTAAAACACTGAAAGATAATCATTGTCCGTTATCAAACACACCCATCAAATCAAATCTCAAGAATAGTAATAAATTCAATTGTTGATGTATAATTTGTCATGACGTAAAAGAGTGATCATTGTAATTTATTAAATGGTGAGATAAAATGACAATTATGACATCCCTTTCACTATACTCATTACTCAATTACCTTAATTAAACAATGATCCTCATTTTATTAAAAAGGGGGAGAGTGTCCATGTCATGATCAAAAGTAATCAACTAAAATAAGAACCTCAAAGGCATATCATCATGCCATCACACTCATACTCGCATCATAAATCCACCATCCAACAAGTGTAATGTGTAAAAACGCAACTCATATCTCTCTGTCTCACACACACGCACACACAAATCAACCCTTGCAGCGAAATTCTCAAATTGCTTTCATGATGTAATCAACCAATTACTTATATACCCAAACATCATAATAATATTCTTTTCGCTTACCATATCATTATGATTCCCACACACTGTATGAGTATATGATACATTATATATATATATATATATCTCTCTTTGATTCCATGTATGCAATAACTGAATTTGTGCATTTAATGAAGACAAAAGAACACCTGCTTTCAGCTAAATTACCTTTCATTCAGCTAACAGCTACCCATCCCAGGAGTCCAATTCTCGCACGGCTCTCCATCAGCGTAACAACCATTCAATTCTAGGTAAGTAAAGAAAGAAATGTTTTAGGGAAATCGTTGCATAATTTAAATAACATGTCTCTTTTCGGTGAGTTAATATTATATTACTGGTATATATACATTGTATATACAATTGTATGTATACACATTACAGATTATGGTGGATCACCTGATTCACCTCCGTACTCTCTCTCTGTCTCTCACGAAAGTTCCAGCCCAGTCATCACCACACCGTCATAAAGTAGTGCAGCCGGTGGTGGTGTTGTTCATATTTTCTCTCTCTAAACTCTTAAGCAGCTTCTGCTACTGCTGTCTTTGTCGTGCAGAATCATCGCCTCGGCAATCTCCACCGGCTCACTTACCGAATTTCCAGAAAAGCGCCATACCCAGGTCAGATTTTTGGATTTTCTGTAATGGGTTTCTCTCAGATTTCAATTTCACGGAGTCTGTTTGTCTCCTTTTGTTCTGTTTAGATAACTTAGAGAGAGAAAAAAGAGGAGAGAGAGAGAGGGGGGGACGGTTACTTCCTCTCTCTCTCTAAAACTCTCTCTCTGTCTTGGTATTCCGTGTTACAATTGATGAAAAAAAAAACTCTTTGTTTTCATGTGCAATGCGTCTGCAGATTCTCTCTCTACCAACAGCTATTTGTTTTATCCCTGCGACTTGTCACCATTTTAGCGCATTCAGTACAGCAATCATCACCAAATGGTGAAATGCCCTTCACGAGATTCGATCTCTCTTGCCTGAATATTTACACACTGCATCGACTCACCGATTTTGATCACTTTCTTCCGCAAAGGTTAAACATCTACTATGGGTATGAACATTCTGTTCAGTAGAATCTCTGGTTTATCATTACCGACCACGCACTCTTTTGCTGGAGGCAACCTTTTGGGGTCGTTTCAAGGTTTGCCTATATTGGAACTATCGTCAATTTGCATCAATCTGACATTGTTTCTTGTATTCCTATTCATCGTATCGGCAAGACAGATATTCCTGTGTGTTGGTCGAATTCGAATCATTAAGGATGATTCAAATGTAAATCCAATCCCAATTCGGCACACAGTTGATGGTGAAATCCGGAGTATCGAAATTGGTTGGAGTTATAAAGCTTCGGTATACTGTTGTTTCTACGTGTTGTTTCTTCAAGTATTGGGTTTAGGGTTTGATGGTGTTGATTCGATTAGAAGGGCTGCACATGGAGAAGGTACATATTGGACCTCTCTGTTGTTGCCTGCAGCTCAGGGTTTAGCTTGGTTTGTGTTGAGCTTTTCAACTCTTCACTGTAAATTCAAGGTCTCTGAGAAATTCCCATTATTGTTGAGGGTATGGTGGGTTGTATCATTCGGCATTTGCTTGTGTACTTTGTATGCCGATGGGAGAGGATTTCTAGTCGAAGGTTCAAAACACTTGAATTCTCATGTTGTGGCGAATATTGCTGCAAGCCCTGCTCTTGCCTTCCTCTGTTTCGTAGCAATTAGGGGTGTTACTGGTATACAAATATGGAGAAACTCGGATCTTCAAGAGCCATTGCTGCCTGAAGAAGAAGCAGGGTGTCTTAAGGTTACTCCTTATAGTGAAGCAGGGTTCTTTAGTTTGGCTACGCTTTCATGGTTGAATCCACTTCTTTCAATTGGTGCAAAGAGACCACTTGAGCTAAGGGACATTCCACTTCTTGCACCAAAAGATCGTTCCAAGACCAATTATAAAATTCTTAACTCAAATTGGGAAAAGTTGAAGGCTGAAAATCCTTCGAAGCAGCCTTCTTTAGCTTGGGCTATTCTCAAGTCTTTCTGGAAGGAGGCAGCCTGTAATGCCATTTTTGCAGGCTTGAATACTCTTGTTTCATATGTGGGTCCGTACATGATTAGCTACTTTGTAGATTACTTAGGGGGGATTGAGGCTTTCCCACATGAGGGGTATATTCTTGCTGGAACATTCTTCTCAGCCAAGTTAGTTGAAACCTTGACAACCCGTCAGTGGTATCTTGGGGTCGACATTCTGGGCATGCATGTGAGATCAGCTCTTACGGCAATGGTATACCGAAAGGGACTCAGGCTCTCGAGCTCGGCCAAGCAAAGTCACACCAGTGGAGAGATTGTTAATTATATGGCAGTGGATGTTCAAAGAGTGGGGGATTACTCTTGGTATCTCCATGACATGTGGATGCTACCTCTGCAGATCATTCTTGCGCTAGCTATTTTGTATAAGAATGTTGGGATTGCTTCTGTTGCAACATTGATTGCCACCATTATCTCCATCATTGCAACTGTCCCACTGGCGAGGATTCAGGAAGATTATCAAGACAAGTTAATGACTGCCAAGGATGATAGGATGAGAAAGACTTCTGAATGTCTTAGGAACATGAGGATTCTCAAGTTGCAAGCTTGGGAGGATAGATACCGCGTGAAGCTGGAGGAAATGCGGAGCGTGGAATTCAAGTGGCTAAGGAAAGCTCTATACTCTCAGGCTTTTATTACATTCATCTTTTGGAGCTCCCCTATATTCGTTTCAGCAGTCACTTTCGGCACTTCCATATTGTTGGGTAATCAGCTTACAGCAGGAGGTGTTCTTTCTGCTCTGGCCACTTTCAGGATCCTCCAAGAACCACTTAGAAATTTCCCCGACTTGGTGTCAATGATGGCTCAGACAAAAGTATCTCTTGATCGAATTTCTGGGTTTCTGCAGGACGAAGAGTTGCAGGGAGATGCAACAATTGTTATACCTCCAGGCGACACAAATGTGGCAATAGAAATTAAAGACGGTGAGTTCTGTTGGGACTCTTCTTCTCCAAGGCTAACATTATCGGGTATACAGATGAGGGTGGAAAGGGGGATGCATGTGGCTGTTTGTGGCATGGTTGGTTCTGGGAAATCAAGCTTTCTGTCTTGCATCCTTGGTGAGATTCCAAAAGTCTCTGGAGAAGTAAGTTGGGTTTCGAACTATATTATATTTTTCTCTCTCTCAGGTGTCCTTTTCCTTTTGGTTATATGAAATCCTTTTTCTTTTGGGATTACAATTGTCATCTCTTAATTCCTGTTATCTTGGTGTTTATTAGGTTAGAATATGTGGTTCTGCTGCTTATGTCTCTCAGTCAGCTTGGATACAATCAGGAAATATAGAAGAGAATATTCTTTTCGGTAGCCCAATGGATAAGGCAAGGTACAAAAATGCTATCCATGCTTGTTCTCTGAAGAAGGATTTGCAGCTTCTCTCACACGGAGATCAGACCATCATTGGTGATAGAGGCATAAATCTTAGTGGTGGCCAGAAACAACGCGTGCAGCTTGCCAGGGCACTCTATCAAGATGCAGACATTTATTTACTTGATGATCCCTTTAGTGCTGTTGATGCACACACTGGGTCAGAATTATTTAAGGTTAGGCTTAGTTTTTGTTTATTAAATTTTCAGTTCAGATGATTAAACTTTGGCTAAACAATTAATGTGGTGCTGCAGGAATACATACAGACCGCACTAGCTAGGAAGACTGTAATTTTTGTAACCCATCAAGTTGAATTTCTTCCAGATGCTGATATGATACTGGTATCTAATCGTCTTTCCTTTCTAAATCTGTATATTATTTATGCAATTAAGGGTCCACATTAATTTACTCTTTTTGTCATGAGTCTGAGTTAGCAAGGTGGCCCTTTTTTGATAATCTTGAAGTTTTTCTTGTCTTTTGTTTTCAGTTTTTAGTTATGGTGATTAAAACACGCTGACTGTTTAAATTCAGTTTATATTGACTATTAAAATACAATGCAGCATCCCTTTCTTGTTTTTCTGAACTTATCAATAGTACCAAATGCAACATAGTGTTCAAAGAGAGAATAAGTTGAAGAGAATTTAGTGACAATATGATTTGTAGGTCTGAAATAAATTTTCAAATATTTACCTTCCATTTTGCAGGTTCTTAAGGAAGGCCGTATCATTCAGGCTGGGAAATATGACAATCTTTTGCAAGCAGGAACCGATTTCAAAACTTTGGTTTCAGCTCACCATGAAGCAATTGAAGCTATGGATATTCCGAATCACTCATCTGAAGATTCAGATGAAAGTCATCCTCTCGATGGATCTGTTCTAATGAGTAAAAAATGTGATTCTATTGGAGATAATATTGACAGTTTGGCAAAGGAAGTGCAAGAGGGTGTATCAGCTGCAGACCAGAAGGCAATTAAAGAAAAAAAGAAAGCTAAACGGTCAAGGAAAAAACAACTTGTTCAGGAAGAGGAAAGAGAGAGGGGCAAAGTTAGCATGAAAGTGTACCTGTCATATATGGCTGCAGCATATAAAGGCTTATTGATTCCGCTCATTATTCTTGCACAAACATTATTTCAGGTGCTTCAAATAGCTAGCAATTGGTGGATGGCTTGGGCCAATCCACAAACCCAAGGGGACCAACCTAGAACAAATAGTATGGTCCTTCTTGTTGTTTATATGGCCCTTGCTTTCGGGAGCTCTTGGTTTATATTTGTTAGGGCTGTTCTGGTGGCTACATTTGGCCTAGCAGCTGCACAAAAATTGTTTCTGAAGATGCTTACAACCATATTTCGAGCACCGATGTCTTTCTTTGACTCCACTCCAGCTGGGCGGATCTTGAATCGCGTAAGAATATGTTTATTTTGATTAATCTTGTCTCCTTCCACCTATCTTTTTCCTCATTTCATATAATTTTAGAATAATGGATTGTTTCTGACCTACCAGGTGTCTATTGATCAAAGTGTAGTTGATCTTGATATTCCTTTTAGACTTGGTGGATTTGCTTCAACAACAATCCAGCTTCTTGGTATAGTTGGTGTAATGACAAAAGTTACCTGGCAAGTCTTGCTTCTTGTTGTTCCTATGGCCATTGCTTGCTTGTGGATGCAGGTGATTAATGATCTCTTGCTTTAAACTTATAATCTGAAATTATTATTTCTCAGAACTTGCAGCCCACAATTTATGTTCTGAGTTCTTACACAGTCTGCATATACGCACTAGAGACGCTGACTGTAGCACTTCGTGTTTACCTCCATTAGGTGTATATATCTTTTCTCAATCAGCTTCAGAAAACCTAATTCTTGGGTGTTTTTTAGTTCTCGATTCCACATGGTTACTATCAGATTTCCGGTTTACTCCTGCTGTAGTCTTCTGTTAGCTAATGCCATGTATTGATGTGTGTCTTGTTCTTGATTCTGACATTTTATTATCTCATTTCTGATTTATTATTATTCCAGCTGTGATTTCTTCGGTTAGAAAATTTATATATTAATAATCTGAAGGATATGCATTTATAGAGAGCATTCTGCTAAATACATTTCATGCCTCTTTTATGGTCATCTGAGACCATTGCAATTTGTTTCTGAAATGCCTATTTTATCTACATCTTGACAATCTTTTCAGAAGATCTGCAAGCTAGCACTTCAATAATAAATACTTTAATGCTTGTGAAATTACCTCTGCCTGAATTTCTTCTATTATATATATTTCAAATACTATCGAAGGATCAAATAATCTAATGGTCAAAGAAAGACTTTTGGTCCTAGTGGAGGTTAAATTGAAATGGAAAGAAACAGGTACAGAAACTTAAATTTTTTTGTCAACTATGCAACTCTGTCACATATATATATTCTTAATTTGAGAATTCACTATCATTTTTTTTTTTCTTTCAGAATTTCAAAGCAAATCACCTTAGATATTTTATTTTTATTTTTTTCCATTGAGGAATCTCTTAGAAAGTACTGCCCCTAACAGAATTCAACGGCAGAAAAATTCTCATGTGTACCCTTCACATGAACATATTTTTATTGTTGTTTTTTCTTGGAAGAGTGGGAAAAACCGTTCAGTGGGTGTTTAAAGTTTGGTTGCGCTTTTTTGCTCGAGTCACTCTTTGCTTGGCCTATGAGGTGGCTGAGATACTTCATTTTCTGCAAGATCTAAGATTTGTCAGTCCTTGCCCACTCAAGCATTTTATTATTTTATTTTGTACATATAGAATGTATTATTGTACAGAAAATAAACAAAACTGGATTGAAGGTTGCATTCAGGGACGGAGGCATTCAGAGTCCAGTGGGGGCAATTGCCCCCACTGGAATTTTTTTTATTTTATATTATACACCCTGTAAAAAAATTATTTTGAAATATATACCTATAAAAATTAACCATTGCCCCCATAGAAAATTTTGAAAATTAGCACTATTGCCCCAACAAATTCACATTGGGCTTCTTTAAAGAGAAAGGGCCAATGGCCCAAACCACTGAAAGCATCAATCCAACCATCAAACACGTTACACAGAAGGTTATTATAATGGTTTGAATTTTTTTTTTGCTTATTATAATGGTTTGATTTTTTTTTTTTTTTTTTTTCTTCTTGCTGTTAAAGGTCGCCCCCACTCACATAATTTTCTGGATCTTTCCCTGGTTGCATTGTGTGAAACTACAAAATTTGCATCCATCTACCTTTAACTTTTGTCAATCATTTTCTCTATGGAAATTCAATTGTTTTTAGAGAGGAGCAAGTGTTTGTTTAGTTGGTGGTATACTTGAATCCCCAGAATAATTTTTTATTTTCTGATGTTTGGAGTTCCGGTGCTCAGTGAATATATCACCTCTTTGTTACAATATACAAATGCAGAAATACTACATGTCTTCATCAAGGGAACTGGTCCGCATTGTTAGCATCCAGAAATCTCCAATCATCCATCTTTTTGGTGAGTCTATTGCTGGAGCAGCCACGATTAGAGGATTTGGACAAGAAAAGCGGTTCATGAAGAGAAACCTCTATCTTCTTGATTGCTTTGCCCGCCCATTCTTCTGCAGTCTTGCAGCTATTGAATGGCTCTGCCTACGCATGGAGTTACTCTCAACCTTCGTATTTGCTTTCTGCATGATTTTACTCGTAAGCTTCCCCCATGGAAGTATTGATCCGAGTAAGTAAATAATTTTTTCCTTTACTGAACGACCAAATGTATCTGCTTCTTACGAGAAATTTTGCATGACATGTAATTGGACATGATTCATGACAACATGATCCATACCATGGGCTGTCTAGCTTAAGTTAGATCTTCTGCCACCACATAAGGGAAAATGTCTTGTTCAAACCTCAGAAGAAATGTGAATGTGCGTTTCTTACTTTGCAATAAAAATAAATTTATAATGATTCATGGTTACATTTCTAAGTATCATTTGACATTAAAAAGAGAGAAAATTGATAGTTGATGAAACAGAGTTAATTGTTGTAGTGACACGGTTTCTCTGTGCTGTGTACTATGAGATGGCTAATCTACACCAATGCGCCTGATTGTAAAACTCATGGAAGGTGAGGAAGTAGAATTTTGTGACATAAAATTGTCTCTTCAATAAATTCTGTGAAATGAATTGGACATGTCACTGAGCCAGTATTGATGGTGCGGAGTAGTTGTGTCATAAACCACAAGATTTCCCCTTATGAAGCATTTGAAATCTAAAGCCAATTCAATTGGTGAACCTATTCTAGGAATAAATTCCTTGAAATAGTATTGGAACAAAGCTTAAAGAACGTTTAAAACTATTTGGTGGATGAAGATTGCAGAGAATGAAATCCAGAACTACTGAATTGCTATGGAACCTCAACTATGCTATGCTGTTCCTAATCAAAGGTGTTTCTCTTTTATAGGTATGGCTGGCCTTGCTGTGACATATGGCCTTAATTTGAATGCACGCCTATCACGTTGGATACTTAGCTTTTGCAAGCTTGAAAATAAAATTATTTCCATAGAGAGGATTCATCAGTACTGCGAAATCCCAAGTGAAGCTCCACCTATCATTGAGGATTCTCGCCCCCCATCCTCGTGGCCAGAAAATGGAACAATTGAACTGATTGATTTAAAGGTGTGCAATTCAGCTTCACCTTACCTTTTTTGCGTGTTTCTGCTTCTAGGATGAGGTTTCATGAGTTGGCACTGAAAATTTCCTAATATCTGATCTTGTCAATTTGTTGTTGGTTGTTTTACTTGATACGTGTTTATCTAATCAGTTTTATAAATGGCCTGGGATTTTATTACACAGTTACTGTGCAAATCAGGTTCAGTGCAAGGTTACACCTGATAAATCATTTATTCTAATTTTGACACCATCTGTTTGTCTTAATTATAGAGAAAATGATTTCCATCTGACTTAAAGGCCTTGTGGAATTTCCAAGAATGCTTAATACATTGAGCACATTAGGAACTTATGATACTCTTTTAACATTTGGTGTTTTATGTGCAAGTCATACAGTATTAGTGAATGAGGGTTGCTGAGCATTTTTTTTTTTTTTTTTATCTCCATTTTTATTTGGGAGTCCATTAGTTTCTTAATAGATTCTTATTGATCACCTATTTTTCAGTTAATCTCGTATCAATATCAAATCGATATTATTATTGAAAAAGCATCCCAACTACGTGCTTTCTTATGCATTTTACATGTAAAAAAGGAAAAAATAAATATAAGGGAAATGTGTTTTCTTGTACTTTATAGGAGCTTAATTTATTATTACTACTCATTCAAGAGTTTGAATTCATGCGAGACATTATATTACAAGGCTTCAAAGATTGAGTAAAAAGAAGATGGTGGGATTTACATTCTTAAAGATCCGTAACCTCAAGCTAAAACTAAATCCATTAATTCTCAAATCAGCGGAAAACTTGAAGTCATAAACTAATCAGCAGCAATCACAAATCTTGTAATATGTACTGTATTACCTTGCATCCCTTTCAATATTTTAGTTAGGGGTTTGTTGTGTGAAAATTTCTTTCAGGTATTAACTGGAATTTTCTTCATCATCTCTTTTTTGCAAACTTTGTGGTTGTTTTCTTACTTCTATTAGACCCAAATATTCAGGTTCATGCTGGATTGTCCTAAGGAATACCTGCATATATAGTGTGCTCAATGAATAGGGTCTTCCTTGAAATTTGAGTCTTCTATAGTCTGGTTTTGATCTTGTCCCTCCTGAAGAAAATTGTGTATAGAAGATGAAATTTTAATACATAAAACTACAAAGAACTTCACTCCTTTGTCACTGGAACTTCTGTATATTGACTAGTCAAACTGATTATATTTTCTTAGTTCCTATTTTATGTCACTTTTTTGGTGATTCTTCCCCGAAGATGTTTTTATTTGAAAGAAGGATGGGTTTCTTTAACCAGGTTTGTTTGTTTATATATTAAGGAGAAAAGAAAAACATGCTGACTTGCTGGGTTTCTGTAACTATATTTGTTTGTTTAAAAATTACGGAGAAAATAAAACCATGCTGGCTTTTTAAGTATTTCAATTTTGGTTACAAGTTATTATGATAACTATCTGCTCAAAAATAAATTGTTCTGATGTCTCTCCTGTACTCCAAAGGTTCGTTACAAGGAGAATCTTCCTGTAGTGCTTCATGGTGTAACATGCCAATTTCCTGGCGGGAAGAAGATTGGAATAGTAGGGCGTACAGGAAGTGGTAAATCTACTTTGATCCAGGCACTCTTCCGATTGATTGAACCTGAAGGTGGCAGGATTATTATTGACAACATTGATATTTCAACAATTGGTCTTCATGACCTACGTAGCCGTCTGAGTATCATACCCCAAGATCCAACTCTTTTTGAAGGGACCATTAGGGGCAACCTTGATCCCCTCGGAGAGCATTCAGATCAAGACATTTGGCAGGTTAATTTGGATTTGCTTACCCTCTTTTTCCTTCATCTAGTGTCCACATGCATGATAACTAAATTCTCTGGATTTTTTTATTTTAAATGTTCAGTTTTTTGGTTAATAAAAAAGAAAGAGAAGAATTGAAAAATTTACCATGTATGGCCCATAAATCTCTGAAAGAAATATCGCAGATACTATGAAAATCCCAAATTATTTGGATAATCGTTAAGTGAGAAGCAAATCCTTTTTTTTTAGCTCGAATTGTTTTTCCTCTCACTTGGGTCATTTTTGAAATCATTTCCTTGAGTAAATTCTGTGTTGATTTTGTTGCTAAATTGTCGGCTTCCCATCCTTTTCACGATAATTTGCCTTTTTAATCTATTAATGTGATATCATTCCTGTGCTAAGTGTCACTCTGGCCATGTCCATCTGTAGTATTGTGCCACATTGACTGATAAAATTTTAATTTGTCACAGGCGCTTGATAAATCTCAACTTGGACAGATAATTCAACAAAAGGAGCAAAAGCTTGACGCACCAGGTATATACTCTACACATTTGAACATTAAGTTTAACCTCTTTTGATATTGCGTCTAGAAGTTTTCTTTTTGGCTTATGCATAAACGGATTAATATATCTGAAATTGGTAGTTCTGGAGAATGGAGATAATTGGAGTGTGGGGCAGCGGCAACTTGTTTCCCTGGGCCGGGCTTTACTCAAGCAGGCAAGAATTCTGGTGCTTGATGAAGCAACAGCCTCAGTTGATTCAGCCACTGATAATCTTATCCAGAAGATTATCCGAACAGAGTTTAAAGACTGCACTGTTTGCACTATTGCTCATCGTATACCAACTGTAATTGACAGCGATCTAGTTCTAGTCCTCAGTGATGGTGCGTACTGTAACACTTTTTCTTATTTCTTCAATTAAATAGATATTGAAATATGAGTTTAGTGCAGTGTTCCAGAATTTTGGTGAAGTGACAATTTGCCTTGGCAATGTTATCATATTGAAAACTTTTCTGTTTTCATTTGGAATTCAAAACATCAAATTTTTTAAACATTCTGGGAATTGAAGAGGTAAGAGTGCGCAAAGCAAATGTGGTTAGAAATCCACAAGTTAGTACCTTCAATTACAACCACCTAGCTGGAGAAGTGTCAGGATACAATAGATATAGACAGTTCCTTGGGCATGAAATAGCCCTTGGTGAGTCCTGCTTCTCTATACAACTGTGCAGCCACATTGGTTTGCCGTGTTCCTCATTGGTCTGCCTTTGTTTAATAGTAGTAATTTATTCAGACAGTGATAAGAAATTATACACTTTCACCTCGGGAAATGAAGAGGAATATCCGTCGAAGGGTCCAATGTTAAGGTTGATGTTTTTATGCTTTAACAATTTTAAGGGTCTTCTTTTTTTACTTGTTATTTTTGAATCAATGGATTTATCAACTTCGTCTTAAAGAAAACTTGAATTGTTCCTTTAGCTTGTTTTTCATTCTTGTGGTGCTGGAGGAAGGTTGTGGAATGAATCTATATATATTCCCACTGTTCTCCATCTCCAGCCAAAAGGAGTATTTTAGATACTATGATTTGTTATCATAATTTGTGTAGAACTACTCCATGATGGTTTGCTGAATTATTCTTTTTTATGTCTGCTTTCTTATATTTATTTTCCTCTGCTTCTTTGCTCATGTCTTTAAGGCCTAAGTTGCATCTACTCGTATTTCATTGCACTTCCTGTTTCTGTTTTTTGTCGACCTTTTAATATTATGTTTTGAAATGAAATATAATAAATAAATAAAATTGTATATTTCAGACTGGAGCTTGATTGATTCCAGGTTTGAATATAAGTCCTTGCGTTTTGTAAGAACATCAAACAGACAAACACCATTTTTGAATGTGGAAGTTCACATCAGAATTTGTTTTAGAATAGTTCAGAATGTTATTCATCATTCAGTTCCCATTCTTAAATTTTCTTTGATCATGTGTGCTTCTGCATGCACCAATTGTGGCTCATCAGACTTGGTTTCAATATGTTTTGTAGGTCGAGTCACAGAGTTTGATACCCCGGCACGACTATTAGAGGATAAGTCTTCCATGTTTCTCAAGTTGGTGTCAGAGTACTCGTCGAGGTGAAGTGGCATACCAGATTTTAAAATTAGATGGCATGCCTGGTAAACCTTTGATGTAAAAACAAGAACAACAGAGGACCTTCCTGGAAAGCAAACCGGTTGATGCTGCTGCCTTTCTTCCTGCATTTCTTAAAATTCAAAAGACTAATGGGAGTGGAAGAGGTATGTGCATCCTATCAAATCAAAAGGCCTCTAAAAGGTGTATAGTTTCAGTTTCAAGTGATTATGAGAATTTTTTCCCAGTTGAGAGCAACGGGGGAATTCGTGCTTGGCTGTCATATTCCCTGACATATAAATAAGATGGGCCAGCAGAGATCGATAATAATTACACAAATAAGAAATGGGGCGGCGAATTGTATCTGAAGATGTGCAATAAAGTAGGTTTTTGCATTGAAGCAATTTGTAATTTTGTTAGGATGTTTTTTAGACAGGCCGTGTTTATGTCACTGTTTTCACCGGCAGAATTTTGTTCGGTACATTAGTGAATTTACTTCAAACCAAGCAGGTCTTTCTTTTATGCCGATTTCACTGATCTCTGAGTTGCTTTTGCAGTGTAAAAGGTAACATGGTGATTCCACAACAATCTGTGATGGACTCAGTATAGAGAGAATTTACTGGTTATGATAATCAAAAAAAAACTTTTCTTTTAATCTGTTATAGTTTTACAGCGTTGTTAGATTTCAATCAGATCATTGGTTTGCTTATATATATATATTTTTAATATATGCAATGATGATTATAGCCCGAACAATGAAATGCTGCTTCAAATTGGATTATTGTATATAATTATAATACATGAATCTGATATTGTTGTATTTGCCAGTGGCATTATGCTTAATCTGCATTTCTTTAAATTTACTTTCACATATTTGTTAGGCCATACAACCATACTTGTGTGATGACATCATCAACCCACCCAGACTTTAGAATAATTTGAACCAATTGGAGCATGAATCATCTTGACGATGCCATCTCGCCCACTACACTGAACCACCCATTCCGTTGTAACAGATCACATTAAAAAATTCCTAATATAGACTAAAACAAGTTAGTTAGTAATTTTTTTCGCCCAAGTGAATTGAAAGATACCCAAAATGAGTTCAACAGAGCTGAGCCCACTCGTGTCAAAATTTCAAATCTATTTGCTACCAAATTATTGTTTCTTAACCTTCCCGAAAAAAAAAAAAAAAAAAAAAAAAATTATAAATCTTGTTTCTTATGTTATTGAACTCGGATCTTTATCCAATACTAGATTGTCTTAGCTGAGATGAATGCTTATAGTGAATGTATTGGTGAATATTCTCCTAATCCATGGAAGAAAGGGCAAATAAATTTGAAAATACCAAAGAAAATGAAAGTGATAAGGAAAAATGACCAACATTTTTATTATTCATTAGCTAGTCCATGGTTAAAATGATCATCTGATTCGTTGTTAAATTTTAAATGTTTATTTTATTCGTAACAAGGAAATGCATTAATTTAAATCTAACTTAGTTAATCAAGTTGGTTGAAGAGTTGATTTGATGAAAAGTAAAACAAAAATTTAATAAATATGAAAAATATCTAAGCATCGGATTCCACTGCTATTAAATTCACAATCTACGAAATATACATTAATTGATTTCCAATTTTGAAGTAGCAATCTATAAATCAAGAGATTATTGCATTAATAAAGTTTCCTGCTCAACCTTAGATTGAAAATTAGTTATACATACTAGAGGAAAAATTAAGCAAAATAAAACATACAAATTGAAATAAAAATGTTTTCTGCTTGTGCGGTGCCTCTGAAAGAGTATTTGTTCACTCTACCAATTTTGCTGGAGTACTTCTCACTTGTTTGTCCTTTTTATTCTGGAATTAGTCTTTTATTACAAATAACCTGAAAAGATAAAAAGCTTATTTAATTAATTAATTAAAATAAATATAATAAGGTAATAATAAATATAATTTTAGGGACAATATATATATAAAATATTAACTCATCATGATTACTAAATCCATATGACACCATTATGATTTCAACTTTTTAAGAACTAAGTAAAACTTATGATAAAACAAAAAAAGAAAATGATTTTTGCATGATCATTATACAATAAATAAGAGTGTGAGATCATACACTTACTTGTATTTAGCATAAATAATTAATCAAAAATCATTCGAACATTCCACTGTGAGTAAAAAAATTACGATAACCGTCCATATCAAAAAGTAATTATAAGAAGCAAGGGACTGAGCCGATGCATGCCCAAAGGGACCCGCCCCTTCCCTTATATGTATATCATTTTTTGTTATTTTTTTATGAGAAATTTTATAGCATCCTCTAGAATTTTCAATTACTAAAATTATCTTTTCTTTTTCTTTTTTATTTTTCTTTTTAAAAAAAGTTACATTCCTATTTTAATTTCTTCAATCAAATCCTAAATTTTTCCCACGCAAAGCTCTCATTTTTTTTTTTTTCTTCTTTTTCTCTACTTCTTAAAATTCTTCTTAATATTGCACATACGTATGATGTATGTAACTTTTTTTTTTTTTTTTCTCTCTTCTTATTTACATTTGTGGTTGTAATTTATGAACTCAATGTGTGTAAATTCATGCATTGCTTTCAAAATAAATCTATATTTGTTGTGAATTTTATTTAATCAAGTACTCCCAATATAAAATTCTGACTCCGCTATGATAAGAAGACTAGAACTAAATAAATTTCTAGCCTATTATTTTACTACCAGGCTCTACTTAACCCATGTGTAGCACTTTGAAGGATTTAAATCTGGTTAAGCCCTTGAGATTTATATTAGGGTTGTCATCTTATTACCTATTTAATTATTCCTAACCTCATAGATTATTACAGTATGTTAGTCCCTTTATTCCGAAGTATTCATAATTATCTTCGAATGCTAGTATGTCTACCTCATGATTAATTAGTTTATATGACATTATGACTTCAAATATTGACGTGGATTATAGAACAAGCATTATATTCTGCAAGCAAAAAACATTTCTTCAAATATTGACTCAAGGGATACCATAATTACATAATCGTTGCAACTTTATTTATTTATTTTTATTCTTTCGTAATAATTGCATCTCAATTAGTCCAATCAGCATTATTATTATTTTTTAAACCAGACGATTGAGGGAACTTATTTGGGCTTAATTGATCAAGTTCACTCCCCAGTTGTTTTTGTTTTTGTGAACACCATCTACCACAAGTTTTCAACAAACCCCTTAAATGTCCTTAAAATAAATGGAAAATCTGGGTTTGTTGGGTTCTTCAAATTTCATCTCTGTTCTGGAAAAAATATGTGTTTCTGGTTTTCAAATTTCCAAACCCAATAAATAAGTAACCCTATGTAATCACCTTTGTATTTTTGGATTTCTTGGGTTCTCCAAAAACAAGGAAACAGATGGAGAGAAGCAAAAGAGGCAACTCTAAATGAGAGAAAAACAGAGATCAACGGTGAGAAATTGAACACGTAAGGCGGAGAGAGATTGAATAGTGAATTCTCCTCTAATGGATCCAAGATTGAAATATTACAAGAGAGAGAATAGAAAACTGAAAGATTGAAAGATCAATAAAGAAGTAAATTTTCTGCAAGTAATTCAAAGTTATTCTGATTATATCTAGTGATTATTTATTATATCGATCCTCCCCCCATTTTGGTATCAGAGCCATATAATGGCTTAAATCTATATTGTTAATGCTTTATGTTCTAATAGCATAATCCTTATTATAGTTATGTACTGAATAATAGGACTACTAATCTGTTTAACTCCTGCTTATACCAGCTTCTATTATGGTTCGTCCAAAAGTCGCGTTGGAATTGTAAGACCTATTTTTGCATTAAATTGCGCCACAGGTTGTTGTTTCCAGTAAACCGTTGACAGACGAGTGATAGGACCTCTCTTAAGCAGCACGATGACAGAATAGTAACTTACTATTCATTATATAATATTATAATGGTTATACTATTATTCAGAAATCAAGCATTAACAATATTTTAACAGTCATGTTAAACCCCTCTTCTTCTGAAATACAGGATGCACAGGATTCTGAATTAATCAAGAATTCAGAATTAGTGGAATACACTAATGTTCAAAATAAATTGAACAAATGGACTATTCCTCCAGTAGATGCTTGCAGCATCTATAAAATCGGGATGCTTAACCTTACTGATCTATGGGCAATCAAAACCATGGAACAGACGATGCAGTTAAGTAGCAAGGATACAATACTCAAGTTATTGTCTCCACGGGATCTTCAAAGATACATAAAGAAGTACAAGTACATCCATATAGGTTTAATTCAAATTGCGTTTAAACCTTTAACCCTACTTGGGATGGATGTTTGTATCCAAGCAACACTTAGAGATGCTAGGTGTTTGGATTTCCACTCATCTTTGATGGGTGCTTTGGAAACTAGTCTATGCCACGGACCAGTTTATTTTGATGTACATCCTAGTCTGAATTTATCCTTGATGGATATAAATATATACGAAGCTGCTAGTCTTTGTGTACAGACTCATGGATATAATTTCTTACCTGGATCGGAAGTGATAAACGTGATTTATCGCATCCATTACAAGGTACTTGATACCTATTGTCCAAAGGCCATACGCAAAGACTCTAAAGGAGTAACAGCGTTATGGGATACAAATATGTTCACATCGAATATTGCCACAAAAAGGATAATACCTTGGAGTGAAATAACATTCCCTGACCATTGGACAATTCCCAATGCAGTTCCAGCTAAACCTATTGCAAATAGGAGTCTGGACTGTGTTATCCAGGATAAAGATGGTGATGTTTTTCTGAACTTCAGAAGATCACTGGATCTTCCTTGATCTACATCATCCAGTGGGATTCATCTTCCTTACAAAGTCTCCTATCCTCCTTCTCGCAATTCTATTTCAGAATTCCGGATGAGCAAGACAGACCCAACTAAGGTAGATCGTCTTAAACTGAAGGGAATCCAGCAGTCTCCCAATGAGATTCCAAGCGGTGTTTATGAACCAGTTCCACCTCTACCCAAAGGCGATTCTCGTCGGGAATTTGGAATAAAGTTTAGCCCCACACCATCGGAGATGGGCATCGGCGAAAACACTGAAAACAGAATTAACGAAGAAGATCGTGTTGAATATTAGCCTTAATGGATTTTACACCAGATAGAAAAGCCATTAATGCTGAATTTCAACAGGAGCAGTATAAAGAGTTTAGAAATTGCTATTTTAAAGCTTTTGATCAAAATCAATTACAGCTTTTTAAAACCTAGTTTTATGACTATCTCCAAGTAAGCAAGATGGTTATACCCTTTGTTTCTTAGTTCTGTATTACAAAACATTCCTTAATGAATTTAAACATTTTGGAAGCTTTTTTGAAAACATGGACCATCAAAACTGATAAAGTTATTCATGCGGTTCATCCCCCAACGAAGCTCTACTTTTAAAAACCACAGATAAGGATACTGGTTCAAAAGTAGAAACCCAGGCTTATAGCCAACCATCATCTTCTATTGATAGAGACACCAGTTTTATTGTCAAAGAAGATATTTATAAAGTACACCGACAGAATATTTATACTAATGTCTGTATGCAAACAGTAGGTTCTCAATTAGGAAGAATCGAAACAGGAGTTGATACGGTGTTAAACATTC